TTCGCGACAAGTAAACCTTTTCAACGCAGCAGCTCGAGAAGACTTCGATATGTAATTTTCAAAGAGGAGTTATTCCATGCTCTAGGTGCTGAAACGATCGAGGTGGCTTATGTTGAAACTGGAAAACTTTGTTTGTTGAAATGCGTGAAAAATCTACAATGCTTTTCAACAAACATTGGCGTCCACCCCCGAACTGACGAACGAGTTCGGTGCGAGCTGCTGTCTTCGGACAAGTACAGGGCATTGAAAAGCTTTCGTGCGAATACAAGTTTTCATCATTACAGAGTCTCGGTGAGTTAGTATTTCAAACTCTGTCTCTATTTTTTCTTTTAGTTTTGTTTTATTTTTTAAATTTTTTTTTCTGTTGTTCTCTATTTTGATATTTCACATTTCATAGGCTTATTTAGTCCCTGTTTTGTAGTTGACTTGTCGTTCCTTGCTGGAAATTGTTACAGTTAAAGCAGTTCTTAACATGACTGGTACATCCGTGTAATCAAATTTTTAATTGCGCTTCATACTACCATTGCTCACGCTGATGACTCAAGAGGTTTAAGTTGCTCTAACGCATCTTTCGTTCTCTACAGATTTCTAGCGTGCCTCATTTTTCAATGGACACATGATAACGCATGAGCCATATATCAAGTGATTTTAAAAAAACATGCGAAACAGACTTACACTGATCAAATGTTTTGTTACAGAGCCCATGTGAAAGCTATCCATGTCAGAACGGGGGCACGTGTCTACCACGTTATGAAACAAGTGACTACAATTGTAAATGCCGCCAAAACTACACTGGTGTTAACTGCCAGAACCGTAAGTTTTTTCTGGAATTGTTTTTCGCTGAGCCCAGTACTAAAAAACAGGATGCGAATAGGTCCAGTTTTTTTAATCAGGCGTCTGTAGGTGTTGATCTTAGGGATTACTTTGAAAACTGCTTAGACAGAGATGAGTGAAAAGTGTAGAAATAAAAATATATACCGTAATAGAGAAAGATCAATGGTTTACAGTTACTTGAAGGTCGCTCTGAACCATGTAAATAAACGTACTGCATAGTTCACCGCAAAATGTAAATGTGTCTTCATTTTCCATAGCCATTTAATCCCAGTTACCACTGTTGTTTGAAAACGTTAATGTTGACCTTTCTTTACCTATGTTAATGACGTGTTTTTCAAATTCTGCAAAAAGTGTTTTTTCCTAGTTAATTTCTTCAACATTTAAGTCTCTCTTACTGGTAATGATCATGTCAACGAATTGTTTCACATTTAATAATGTAGAAGAAATATGAAAAGCGATATGCTGATTGCAATCCAGTGATCAAAAAGAGGGGTCACCAAAGTCATTTTCGAGTTTACAGGCCCACAATTGATCAACCATTTTAATGGGAAAACACGATCGATTGTGGTAGTATATATCTGGCAAAGAATAAGTGTTAGAAAAAACCATGTTGTATCACCTTTCGACTAAATTTTATTTTTCAAGGACAAGGTTGGATCTCTGGCATTGGTGAAGTTAGGAAGTATTACAAGTACATCATTAGAGACTCAAGCTGGTTTAAAGCTAAATCGTACTGCCAGTCATTGGATGGAGCTTTAGTAACCTTCCAAAACAAGAAAGAACTCAAGTTTGTTACAAGCGAAGTCCTTCCTCCAACATATAACAGCGTGTGGATTGGACTGAGTGACCCAGGGAAGTCTCGGGAATGGAAGTGGGAAGACGGCTCCACATTATCTTTTAGTCACTGGGCTAACGGTGAACCAAACAACCCGGGAGGAGAAAACTGCGTGGAGATGATAGAGGTGTACCACACATGGAATGATTTTACTTGCGAACATAGTAGGCCTGGTTTCATTTGCGAAAAGACGGCTATCGGGAAGGAAAATTATGATAAGAATGTCAATAATGATAGCAATGACGGTGACGGTGACGGTGACGGTGACGGTGACGGTGACGGTGACGGTGACGGTGACGGTGACGGTGACGGTGACGGTGACGGTGACGGTGACGGTGACGGTGACGGTGACGGTGACGGTGACGGTGACGGTGACGGTGACAGTGAGGGTGAGGATAAGGATAACGATGACGATGACGATGACGATGACGATGACGATGACGATGACGATGATGATGATGATGATGACGATGATGATGATGACGATGACGATGATGATGACGAATAAGATGACGGTGATGGTGATAAGGATTGAGTGACAAATAACCACTGACTACATTCAATAAACGTACTGCATAGTTCACCGCAAAATGTAAATGTGTCTACATTTTCCATAGCCATTTAATCCCAGTTACCACTGTTGTTTGAAAACGTTAACGTTGACCTTTCTTTACCTATGTTGATGACGTGTTTTTCAAATTCTGCAAAAAGTGTTTTTTCCTAGTTAATTTTTTCAGCATTTAAGTCTCTCTAACTGGTAATAGTCCTTGCATTTGACTTTGTCGAGAGAATATCATTTTGTTTAGTCGATTTTTCCCGATGGGCGAATTTTCGGAAGAATCGTCTGGATGTTTATGTATCAAGTTTTATGCTTAACCTTTTGACCCTTCAGAGTGACTAGCATCTAGTTTCTCCATACAATATCACCCCTGAATCACATGTTAAGGTCATGAGAAAAAAGGAAGTGATCATCAGCTCAAGACTCTTGATTTTTTAATTAATTCTTCTTGTCAGCACCTTAGGAAATGTAAAATGTTAATGTTAGGGAGTAAAGGGCTATTGATAGCTGCAAAAATTTTGCTTGGTACCATATCTCTTCTGAAGAGCACAGGATGAAGGCTACCGTATTCTATGTACAACGATAGGTTGGAATTATATACGATTCAACCTTGATTTCCGTCTGTATTGTTAGTCTCTTTATTTGAGCTGAGGTAATCGCCGGGATGTGAAGATGAGAGGAGTAGAAAAAGAATCACACATATCTTAAACAAAGTAATTTTTTGTGCGTAATATCTCTCTCTTCATCTTGTCTTGTGCTTTGTTTGAAACGAAGTTAAAGATAGATTTGATAATTTCTCAGATGTCACACTGAGAGAACATACAGGATATACCAACTAATAATACAAGATGACAAATATTTATAGCTTTTGTTTTTATGATATGCCGGCACTTACCAAATAAAGAAAAGCAGTGAAAGCTCTAGAAGTCTCCAAGCACTGCACTTAATATGTCCTTTTTTCCATCAGCTAAGTATATATTAAAATTAGCGGTGTCAATCATGGGAAAGAAAAGCTGCTCTTTTTAAAATTTACATCCTGCTCTTATACGTCATATCGATGAAGGAAATTAAGATTGTTTAACAATATCACCTACAAATAACTGACGACTTGAGTCTCAAAAATTGCTATCAAAAGAATTGGAAATCTGCTACAAGCTCTAACTAAAGCTTAAACCTTAATCAACTCTATAAGGTGGCTGTAAGCACCTTAAGGACCATTTCAAGCCTTTAAATTTTTTAGCAGCAAAGTGTTCGTCGGAGTAATTCCTTCACAGATTGTCTCACCTCACTAATCTTCCAGCAGTAACGCAAAGGCCGGGGTTTAGTGACGAATTAAAGTAAACTAGAGTAATTGTCTGGGCACAATAATAGTCGACTACTGTCCACTATAGGTCTACAAAGCTGTGATTATACCATGTGGAAGATAACCAACAGCAAATGCCACCTACAACTAAATTACACTGGACACTCCTATCCGGTGACCTATCTTTTTAATTGTATCTTTCGAAACAGACGTTGGTAAGGAACATTTAAGGAAAGTTGAAAACAATTGTTCGATAACACTTTTTTTCTGAGAAATCACCTTAAACAAGAATAATTCGCAAAAGCTGGAAAGAGTTCTTAATTTACGAAATGCGAGAGGAGTAATTTGTAGACATGTGACATTGGTGATTGTTCAGGAAACTCTGTATCAAAATTGCAGTGAGGTTGTAATGTAAGACGATCTTCCTCCGAGAAAAAGCAGGTTGAAATCAAATGAAGTTGAACCTCGATTTAACGTCGCTATCATGAGTCAGGGGATCCAAGCTAATCGCAAGGATTTAAAGTGAAGAGATAGATCAGAAGCACTTAAATCTTCATCAGTGTTATTGACGTGTAATACATCTCGCTCTACCATCTGTTTTTTTTTTTCGCTCTATATGAAATTAAAGAGCTCATGATTTTAAAGATGTCATACCAAGAGAATATATTGAATGTAGCTATAAAATTAGTACAAAAATCTTAGTAACCTCGGGTACTATAAAGCCGGCAGTTACCAAATAAGGAGAGATTTTGGCTGCTTCAAATATGTTACTTGGTGTTCAATTTTCTCCCTTTAACCTCAATAGTTTTACCATCTTCTTCTCTTATTATCTCAGCTATAACTTAAAGCAATACTATAATCCTTCTACCTGCTGTTATAGTTTCATTATACAACTCTTTCGCGACCAAAGTTTACTGATTATGCACATTTATTCAGTTTATAACTTCTGTCTAGGTAGCCTATTTTTGTATTCGAACACTTGTTATCGATATTGATTGTAACCGTAAAAGTGAGACAAAAAGTAAAATAATAACCATTTCTATTATAAAGTAGTCTTTGTTGAAGAAGTTGTTCATATTTTGGGCAAACTATTCTAGTTACAAATACTTTTGATTCAAAAACTCCGGCAGGCGAGACTCGAACTTAAACTCTGTTTTTATCAGCGGAATCCTAGAGAGTCAAACAACTTTTCATATTTTCTTTGTTCTTTATCAAGAAAAATAAAAAAGATGCGTTTGGAAGTAGTCTTGGAACATTTATTTCTTTCCTCTTTCACTTGTCATCCAAACTGAAACGTCCACACCTAGAAACAATGACGAAAGTTACATCATGCAATGCTTTTCACCCCACTGTTAATGAAGTATCCGTTTTTATAACAGCGCTTCAGTAGAAAACTCCACTTGTGAAACCATTTCTGGGTTTGCAAATAATAACGAAGGGTTAAATACGCAAATCTTTTTATTGGATCGTGCACTGAGACTCAACTTATTTTTAACTTTGTTAATTTAATACATGATCTCTTGTCGAAAAAGAGTTAAAGCCAACGGATTCCTCTACTCCTTAACTCAATAATACTGCTAAGATCTTTGGAAGTTGATACAGTTCTGTTTACTTTAACTTCCGGTGCAATAATCATTCCCAGAGCTACAAATCCAACCCCTCAGGTAGGCATTATGAATACAAAACATGGTTTAACCCTTAATAACCCTTAAACTCCCATAAGTGATCAACATGACCTTCTCCCTACAATATCCATACATAATTCAGCAAACAGGTAATGAGAATATTCAAACTTATCAGTTAGAAGCTATCTTAATCTAGCACCAAGTTCTCATAACTAACTTACAAGGAAATGTGCAGCAGCTAGGGGGGAGAATTAACTAGCAGATCTTGGGAGTTAAATGGTTAACGCTTTGACCCCCAAGAGTGATCAGCATCTAATTTCTCCTCACAATATCACCCTTGAATCACATATCAAGGTCAAGAGAATATAAAAAATGATCACCAAAGAAGCTCTTGATTCTAGATTGTTAACCCTTTAAACTCTAAGGGTGACCAGCATCAAATTTCTCCCTACAATATCAGCCCTGAATCACATGTTAAGGTCATGAGAATAAAGGAAATGATCACCAACGAAAGAAGCTTTTGCTTGGTAAACAAATTTTTCTTGTCAGCACATTAGGAAATGTATAAAGAACTGTACAGAGAATATGCATACTGATTCTAAGGTGTAAATGGTTAAATTCTCCTTGTCAGCACCCTAAGAATGAACAGCTAACAGTATGGAGAATATGCGTGCTGGTGTTAGGGTGTAAGATATAATATTTTAGGTTATGCTGAAAGTCATTTCCTAAGATGTTGTTTACATACTTTCAATTGTTCACTTTATAGCCAACTAGATGTCAAGAAATATTTAATTTAGTTTCTTTATAAGCCTGTGGATCTCTAAAGCTTAACAAAACCCATCACATAACTGTAGCAATCTGGGGTTGAGATTGCTTCATTGCCAACAATGTCAGCAAATATAAATGTTTAACAATTCAATACATAATAACTCTCCTTTGTCAAGAAGTCAATAAATGTTCCTCATGATCATTAGAAACTCTTTTTTTCTGTGGAGACAATTAATCTAACTAATAACAGAGAACTTAAGATTTGGTCTATTACCCATCAAGAGAACAGATCTATCCTAAACAGAGTCTCTCTAATATCTCTTCTTGGATGAACCAGCCCCCTTTGGAGACTTAAAATAGAAGTCAATTCCTCTATGCTGTGCCCTTGGTGTTTTTCTTGAGTCCTTCACTTTTGATGTGTGCCGGCTCCATTCTGGTGGGCAGACCATTGGCTTGGGATAGTTTTCCCCCAGAGTTACACCTGCATGTTTCAGTTCTGATGATGACAACAGCCAAGGGGTGTGAACTTTGGCTCCTTTCAAACCAGCCAACTCTGGAACCCAAAGCCTCACAAAATCTCCATCTGCGTCATAATCAAGAGCTTGTTTGATCATATTGAACTTTCGATTTTCACGGGGATCATTGCCAATGCCTGCTGAATAGTTCCAATTGCCATAGTTACTGGATACATCATGATCTAGAAGTAGAGATTCAAACCACTCAGCTCCCATGCGCCAATCAAGCCCAAGATCTTTTACCAAGAAGCTTGCCACATTTTGACGTCCACGATTGGACATCCATCCTGTGTAGAGTAGCTCTCTCATATTTGCATCCACAAATGGAACTCCAGTCTGCCCATATTGCCACTGTTCAAATGCCATCATATCTCGCTTCCATGGCAAACCTGTTTTCCTCATAATTCCTGACAGGTAAAAGATGGAGTTGCCATACTTGAGGCTGACGAACTTGAAATAATCTCGCCACAGCAGCTCAAAAATGACCCAGTAAGTGGACTGATTTGCTGTACACTCAGTTTCGTACCTTTTAATGCAATCAAAGACTTTCCCTGGTGAGAGAGCTCCCACAGCTAGCCATGGGCTGAATTTTGTTGAGTAGTCTGAACCAATAAGCCCATTGCGAGTCTCTTTGTATCTTGCAACAAGATCTGTGTCCCATAGGTACTGATTAAGCCTTTTGAGAGCAGCAGTTTCTCCTCCAGAAAATGGGAAAGCTGATCTTGAATCTGCTGTTTCTTCTGAATAATCCTTTGCAAGTTCCTTTAAAGCTGGCATTCTGCCAACGTGATCATCTTTTAAAAATGCAGGCAGTGATTTTAGACAATCTGGGGCTGGAATCAAAGGCCGCACTCTGCATTTTGCCTCAACAGTTTTCCGAAATTCTGTGTATGTGTCAGGCAAAAACTTCACTGAGGCAAATGGTAAATCTTCCAAATGGTACAGTGTCAATCCCCAGAAGGACTTCACAATGACCTTTTTTGCTTCGCAAACCTTCATCAATTCAGCTTCTACATCTGTTTCTTCCTTTGTGATTTCTCTCTGATAAACAAGTGAAACATGTCCTTCATTCTTTTCCTGGCATAAACTAATTATGTCTGAAACTGCTTCCTTTGCTGTCTGCTCAGTGCGCACAACTAGGTCACTTCCAAGTTTCCTTAATGATTCTCTTAAGTCAGACACACTCTCCAGAATGAACTTGGCTCTGTGTATTGCTGTCTTTGCAAATTTGTAATGCCATGTTACAGCAGTGGGACTGAGTATGCTCTTGTCAAAGCAAAACAAAGGAATCACAAAGTCACTATTCTGATGTGCCCATTGTAAGCACTCGTTGTCATGAACTCGCAAGTCATTTCGCATGAGGTAAATAACAACAGATTTGCCCCTTGTGGCTTCCATAGTAGGGGTTACCTGTAATTAATAGTTTTATATCAATTACATGCTACTAGAATGGTAATGATAAAAAAATTAAAAAAATATCTGGACAATTCTATGACAAAATCATTACATAACAGTGTATAAGTGTGTTTGGAAGAACCAAGTTTTACACTGAATTAATGAATCTACTAAAATTTAAAGAAATAGACAGGTGTTTTGTAGTTTGATCTCCCTAATTATAGATATGGATATAAAAATTGATAAAGACATTCTGTATTTAGAAAAATTCCCGAAAGAGATAAAAGCCAGTTTCCTGCACAGACCACTGTTAATTATATGTGACACAAAATCATCCTCTATTCTATGACAATTTAAGGTTCCTCTAATAGTAAAACAATCCCAAATCCTTAAAAAGTCTTCAAGCACCAATTTCAATAAGAATACTGTAAATAAAGATTATGTATAATTGAAAGCTGAAAGTCCATAAGAACAGACAAGCAAAAAATTACGTAACACAACAGAAGACTAAAACTCAAATAATTGAACACTTTATTGACAATTTAAAAAAGCTGCAATAAAAAGTGGAAATTGAGGGTACCTAGAATAGATGTAGGTCTCTAACAAATTTTGAAAAGCGGTGTTACCGAGAACAACAACTGCACTGTGCTTCCGGCTCGATTTGTCATGGACCTCGAACGGATCACTTAACGGTAAGCATCGGAGTCAGTCTTTAGCAAACAGTGATTACATTAAGACTAAGAATAAGCACTTTACCTCACGGTGTTGATATCTTCTCAAGGAATGAAGAAAATTTCTGCCAGCTGAAAAGAAACTCACTTGAATGTCTGTGAAAGTGTAGAAGCAGCCACGTTGAACTAAGAGTCGATTCATGGGTGTTGACACGGAAAGACTGGGAACGAGAAAAAACAAAACATCGTTACCAGTTTCCGGCTTCATCCCTCGGAGACTCATTAGCACGATCGATGGGCCAGTCTATGGGTTGGTTATTCGTGCGACAGGAATTTTGTAGAACAATCTGTGTATTGTGGCCGAGTTCCTGGGAACAGGGAAGCCAGACAAAATAAAACTTTTAGAGAAAGTAAAATCACCTTTAATAAACAGGGGGAGAAAGTTAAGTAATCAATGATCAAGGCCCCAGAATCATTCTTGGAATTTCTAAATATGTCTACACCAGCGACAATATGTCACTTAAAAGAGTTGTTCAATCGGTATATGGTCAGTCGCGCCTTACTCAGGCAAAGGAAGTGAGTGAATTTTAACAAGCTCATTAAAGACAAAAATCCACGGAGACTACATACATCATTTGTCAGCCCGATAAGCCGAAGAGATATTCAGTAGTATGCATGTACCAGGGAAGTAATTACTCCTCCTGTTTTGTTGTATTCGTGCTTATTGTAGGAGTCAGTTAGGTATGATTCAATTTAACTTTGTTTTTCTTTTTTTATCTTGTAGCTACAATAGGGAACTGGAGGTTATTCTTAATTATTTACGTAGACGAAGCCATTTCTTGTCAGTATCATGATTTTCCTTCGGTTTAATGACCTGGGATGAGTCGCATTGTAGAACTCGAGATCGCGTTGCGTGACGAGGACCAAACGACGGCTCCATGGGATACTACTTCTATCCCTGTAACTCTGTCTTGTAACTGTCCTATTACATTTGCTCAAGCGTAAATGCAGATAGGGACGTCAGTACTGAATGCACTTTTGTGCTTAACCTTACAGAGAGATTGCTTAGTTTCTTCTTCTTTAGTTGGTGCGCTTCGTTTTGCGAAAGTGTTTTACAAGTCATTAAAAATGTTCACGACACACAGAGAAGACAACTTTCTAGTGTTTCAAATATTTTATCACAATAACAGTCTTTACAGCTTAATTTAATAAATAATGGTCTCAAAGACTGTTGGTGCTATTTACAAATGCAACATTCACAAAGACTAAAAATAAAGGAAAAGATGCAGTAAGACCAGATTTTGTCTTCATTTATGAATTTTCACACAGTTGCCTCGTTTCTCAACTTTTTTTCTCTTTGTGTTCACCATACATACACGATACCCATTTTCAAGGCATCGTGGAGATTGCTTGACATCGCAGTGAAGCTCACTGAATGAACAGAGAAATTTGACTTTTCAAGAAAGTAACTTTTATGTACAAATAGGAAACAAACAAACCATCATACCACAGAAAAGCAAATAAGACGACAGAAATAAAACAACAAAAATAGATTTCACAATACTTTTCACGGTAGAGAGTCATTTTGTAAAATTTGAATTTTCATTTAGTCACCTGTTTAATATGGTAAAAACCATCTTTAAAAAAATAAGTTACTTCAATAATTTCCTGACCACACTAGTTCTGTTACTCCATAGAGCCAGATTGAGTTGTCGTAAAACCAACACCAAAGTAATCACAACGGCCAATCATATCAAAGGAAAACATCGTTTGCCAATGAGAACTCAAGTAAAAACAAGCAAACTGCCTGAAGCGCGGGAAAACGCGGGCGGCCAAGCCACGATAAGTATTCGTTTCGTATCTCTTTGGTTGAGAGCATGGCGCGAGTTTTCTAGAAAAATCACAGAGCGAGGTAAAGCAGAAACAAGTAAACCTGGATAGCTATCGAAACTCAATTTAAAATTTTTATACTTGAGTGAGCAGGTGAAGCAAATCCAGTGAAATCCCGTATCACTTTCATTTTTGGTTTCTATCAGTTAAAAGTTAAACTATCAAAGCTGATGGCAATTGGGCGACGGTTTGCTTTAGTAAAGCTGATTCTCTATTTTTTGTGGTTATACACGCATCTTGGAGGTTTGTATCCCTAACTCGGTGCCAACCATAAGGCAAGGTTTGTATTAGAATTCTAGAGTTGCTTCACCAACTGGAAACATAGTTCTGTGAACAGGTGCGAACTGGAACTGCAGCGTCACCGTGGCATCGTAAAAATTACTTGAGAGGTCACGAAAGGTTAAAATCTTCTCAAACTTATACCTAATTGTCAAGCACACACTACACAAGCACTTTTTCTTTTGGATATCAAACTTATCACATGTCCTAAACTTGGTTAAATGGATTGAAGGGTCGGGTTAAAGTCACCATTTTGGACATCGGTCCTTTGTGTCTAAACGGTGACAACTGAACTTTTGTTGGAACTTTGAGTGCTCTGCAAGAAAATAAGAAAAAAGATCAAATACCTTCTTGAGTTGCTTTTTAGGTGAGTGGGTGTTTGAACAAAACTTAACGAATACTGCAGCCTAAAGGCAATCATAGCATTTGAAGAACAATAACACAATCGATCGCAAAACATACCTGTGAATTCTAGCTGTGGTTGTAGCCTTTGGGTCCGGTTCTTTGCTGTGCGTAGGATGATGCGATGAAAACAGCACACAACCAGAGTAGCCGGGAATATTGCCACGCCTTGAACAATCCAAATAAATATCACTTAGCCTTGGAGCACGTATCATAACATTTACGGGTTAATATTTCATTTGAAACCTCGATACTACTCAGAACCACAAATTCATTTTTAAGTAAAAATAGAAAAGTTTCCCATCAGAAGAAAAGCTTGCCTACAAGCGTCTTCCACAGTTTTTCAAGCGATCGGCGTTTAGAACCATAAAAAACTGCAATAACCCACTCCTCCAATGGGAAAATTCAAGGGGGCTAAGTCAAGAAACGTTCTAAGAATGCCCCTTTTCAAGTCTTTTTGTCAAATAATTTTTTTAACTAATTACTTTTAAGGCTCTCAAGAAGTTACATACACCTTTCAACCCTGGCAGCAATTATGATGGAGAAGGCAATTTAGTTTTTTTGAACAGGTATAGAAGAATTGACCTCTCTCACTCAAGCTCCCAGGTGCTCACCCCCGCTAAAAGTTACAGTGTATGTCTCTTGATGTGCGTTTTTCATTCATTAATTGTCAACCAACATAAACTCCTTGTTATCTAAAACTCCTTCCTATTTCTTCTGGCTGCTTGAATATCTGATTTCTCATTGCACTGACAAGTAATTTTTTTCATAATACCTAGCGGTGTCTGTGTATCTTGGTTGCGAAGTACGCACCACAGCAATTGGTGTGTACGTCTTCCTTGGATGGTCTCTGTCACCAAATCCAGGGGTGTGGCCACTGCAAAGAACCAAACATATTTATCCCTTTAGCTCCCAGAAGTGATCGACACGTTACTTCTCCCTAGAATAACCATACGTTGTCCAACAGACTGGAAATGAGAATACTTAAAGTAATCAGGTAAAAGTTGTTATCTTGATCTAACACCAAATTCTCACAACTTACTTACAACGAAATGTTTAGCAGAAAGAGGGGAGAATTAACAATCAGATCTTGGGAGTTTAAGGGTTAGAAGTAATCAGACCTTTACAGCAGGCCCCAGTGATGAAGGGCACATTAATAGGTAAAGTTCTATAGGAATACTATAAAAATAAACTAGTGACAACAAACCTGTATCCTGGTATATGTCCTGTCTTTTTGCTTGGGCTGCAGCTGGATATTGAATGACAAAAATGTCAACTGAGTCAAAAGCTGTTATCAATTTATTTCAGTTTGTTTAACTATATTTTACTGTACACATACCTAATGGTTCTCTGATCTGTCTTTATTAGTGCAATTTATTTTAACAAAATAATTTTGAAACAAGAAAATTTTCAAAAAAGCCAAAAATTGAGTAAATTACAAAGCTTGTGGTTATTTGACCCAGCATCTGCTTCATAAAGCATTTGGTTACAACCACTCTAAACAAAGACCATATGAAAATCATGGAAAATGTTGGTGGTTAATTACTTCTGAGCTGTACAGTTTCAGAATCCTCTTTTATCTATTCAAAGAAAAATAAGAGACTCAAGTCTGCATAGGAGAGGGGAGGGGTTGGTGGTGGGGGTAGGGATGGAAGGGAAAGGGAGTGGATCGAGCATAATTTCTGGAATGAATATTGAAGAATTAAACACAGCACATGTGGAGTCCTGTTGTGAATTCCATAGATCAGCACACTTTTATCAACAGAGGATATTAATTACACTGCAACTACTATAACTAGGGTTACTCACTCAGAACTGGCAAATCTGATCACAAAAAATAAGCTACATGTAATAACAATTGCTTAATTCTTTGTATGCACTAACTGGCACAACTGAGTGTAGTAAGTGACACTGTTTGTTCCCCATAATATTAATGGAAACCCTGCAAACAGCTCTTCAATGACTTACAAATCTATGGGTCCTTGTACATGGTGTCCATTACGTGACTGAACAAAATCCCAGCTGTGTGGTCTGCTACCAATTTGCTGAAGATACCAAAGTGAAACAGAAAAATACAGTCACACAAATAAAATTAACTAGAGACCAGTGGGTCATTAAATTAACAACACTTAACAGTAACATTTATTTAACAAATGGTTCCTTTGTAATTCAATACTTTGGTCTGTAGGAGATCATAAATTTGACTCCTGACACAATTGGATTTTCTAGCTCCTTCAAACACTAGCTGTTCAAAGCATTCATATCAATAGTGAGCTGTTTATGTCACTCATCCCTAATCACTGGCTTTCAATAACCCTTCCCCTATCCCAGAGTCAAGGTCATTCACTTTGATAGGTCAGCACATGAATGTACTCTCCTTAGTTCCCAACCCAAGGAGTAATTCAATAGCTGCTAACAAACTTTCAGAGGAAGATGATAAATTATTAGGGGTAACCTAAATGGCAACAGAAACACATCAGTGCTCACTGCACCTACTCAGAAATATGGCTAAGTTGACAATCTCCATCTACTTGAAACTTGATTTGCAAATTCTTGAGCCTATAGAATGATGCCATTACTGGGATTACCTCCAGCAGTGAGGACCATTTCATTTGAGTCTGAATTAAACTGAATCTTTCAATAATTATAGCAAACTGAAAAATTGTATACCTGCCAAAGTTCTGATTTTGGCGCATATCTTTTTGAATTGAATCTGTATGATACCATGTCTGGCTGCAGTTCAACTGTGGTGATTGGTGGTGGGACAGATGGAGCTATTCTTGAACTCCAATCTACTCCACTGTATAACCTTTCAATAAATGATGAAAATGGCAGTTAAAGGGAGAGAATAATGAAAAAAAAGTGACATAAAACATATAGCATGTTATCAAAAATGATAATGTCATTATTGAAAAATAATTTTTTTCTCTATCACATTATACCAGTAATTATAATAAGTCAACGCAATTATAGTAATTTTGTCAATGGCCTTTTTGATCTATTATTGCATTGGCTGGGTAATAAAGGAGGAGGAAAACCTTTATGACCAGGATAAACAATTTCATATTTATTTTGGTCATGTACAACTGATGCACTAAGATTATACAAACCCTTTCTGTCAATGCAATAGAAGCTGTTATTGATACCATTAAGGTGGACTGCATACACAGTGTAAAAGAACCTGCTTTAATTTTTCTTTTTAATTTAAATAAGATACTGAATCAACAATTGTGAATTCATTCATACATCACTGCTCATTGCAACAGTCAATTTAACAGTTACATACTTTTGAGTTTCTGATGTGTAGAATGATCTTGTTGCCACTGCATCCCTCCATTCTTTGTTCTTTAATAGTTCACTGGCTGGAACCTAAAAAGTTCAGGACAAATTTGCCACTTCTTTTTTATTTCTTCTTTTTGCTAGTAAGAGTGACTCTATGCTTGTGACTGGTCGGTAAAATGTTGACCAGTCAGAATCAACTCAAAGTGTTCACCTGAGTTATCTGAGCAATTTGACATTATCTAGGGACAATTCATTCATTTTTAATGCCACACCAGAATGGAAGGCATCACTTGGCACAAGGCCCTCTAAGATGCAAATTTCAAAGTTGCAATGTACAAAATTTTGGGGTGTTGGAATCTGGCCATCCAAAGGGGAGGGGGTGGGTATTTCACCTTGAAGTTCACAGGGGTAACAAAAAGACTTCTCAGGGATATAAGATTTAGTCTCGACTCAGCTCCAATCATCCTTGGTTACTGACATGAGGTATGAACGCACATCTCTCCTTTAAAAAATAGCAACTCGCTATGATCCATACCTTTTGGGAGATTTCCTTTGCTTCTTTCGATCCGGGAAATTGGCTGGGTTGCTGCAGAAGCCGCTCTAATTCTGCCAAAAAAAGTGATGAATAAAAGTCCCAGTCAGCACAATCTTAAGCTCTGATACCTCGAATCAATTTAATCCTTCATAGAAACCGTAAAAAGTACCAATGTGTATATTTCCAAGCGTTTTGAGCGCTAACTTTAAGTTGAAAAGTTCTCCAAGCGTAACGCACGAAGAAAGAGTTGGCTTCTTCATCCGTGACAGTCTGTCACGTACTATTAACGTTATATGCTAAAAGTTGGTAAATTATGTTGATACTCCAATCTTTACTTAGTACTTGGCGTCAATGAAATTACATAAATCATAAAGAGACTATGCAGTGTTATTCATGCATTTTGAAAATGATTTCTTCTCAAACTAGAGAGTATTATCTCGTCTTCGAAGAGTGACAAAGTCGTGAACATTATTAGAACAATTGTTTGAAGTACTTGAACGCGCACAATAAACTTGCGTACCCCTGCTTTTCGCCTCCCATGGAGCGTTCTGCGACCTCAAGTCCGGAATAGGGGAGACAATCGGTCGTCCGTAAGGCATGGCGGACTGTGGTCTATGATCTTTGTTCACAAGAGGATCTATTTGCTGATAATTTCCATCTTCCGCGTCGGCACCGACTGAAGTGAAACCACTTGTTGGATCGACAACTGGAGTATCGCTTCGCCTCGGTGCGTCGGCGCGACGCTCGCCCTTCTCCGCGAATTTACGAAAAAATGCTTCGTCTTTCTCTTGAAATGAAGCTACATCGTAAGTGGAGAACGTTGCTGGAAATTTTCCGGATGCCTGTTGGCGTCTAAATCGTTGTTCCAAGGCGATAGGGTCTTCAGAGAGATGGAGACGAAATGTGCCGAATGGCGGCCGGGGTAAGGAAGTATTCACCGCCGTAGCCATCCTAGCAAAGGCAAATATAGTCTTTTTGAATCTTCAGATACACATCTTTTAAGTCGACTGTTGTGAATGATTTGGTAGAAGTTACAGATATTGATAAAGAATCTAATTTGTAATGATAGCCTTGTTCTGGAACGTGAACCGTCTGGTCGTCAACATGCGGTTGCTAAGGAAGCTTCTATCGCAGGCTCAAATAGGTCCGCATTGGTATCCAGACAACCAGACGCTCGTAGGTATTTTTTCATAAATCGAGGAGCTGAAAATATCTTATTTTCTTATTCATAACGTTCGACGATATTTTCAAGTTAAAATGTAACTTGATGCAAAAAATATCCCGTAACAAAATTAAGGCAGGCTCTGGGGCCAGGACTACGAGATTTGGATGAAATTTGATTTTGAACACTAAATGGATTTTAGACAGTGTCAGTCTCAGTCAGCAACTAGGGTCCGATTTTTGATTCGTACATTTATGGCTGAATATGGATTTTAGACAGTAGTGGCATATTTTAGACACCAATAACCGATTTTTTGATTTTGGACACGAGAGGCAAATTTTGGATTTCAGAAATTGGTGGTTGACTTTTAATTTTGGAAACTTACGACTGTTCTTAGATTTTGGAGACTGGTGGCAGATTTTGGATATTGGAGACTGATCACCAATTTTTTAAATAAGGCAATAATGGTTCTGGACACTAGTATCCTATTTTTTTATTGTAGACATTAGAGCCCAATTTTTATGTCTACTGCCTCCTATATCATAAGAAGCAAAGCCACTATGTTATTGTGATGAGGAAAAATTTTTTTCTTTGAAAAGAGCAGATTTTACTGTTTGAATCAGCGACTTATGTCCAAGAGGGCGCTAAGTTTGTAATGCAAGTAAGCTGTGAAATATGATACCACCAGCCCTATTAAATGAAAGGATGGAACTGAGGTGCAAAATATCCTTGAAAGGCTGAACGCATTGTTGTACAAAACAAGTCTCACAAAAATGGAATTGCAAAAAAATAAGAAAATTACTTATGATATGTAAAACTGAGGAAAATGAGCTTTTGAAGAAAATAAATACTAGCAAGCAAACTACATTCTTTTTTATGTGCTGTGCCATTAACTTTAACCTCAAAAATGTTTGAAATAAACGAGAGAGAAGGTGGTTGTTGACCACTTTTATTAGCAATAGGGTGATAAGTAGATGTGTAAAGTTGAGCTTAAAATACTCCTGTCCCCTGGAAAAGATTACACCTCAAACAGGTTTTTTTCTTGCTTTCTAGTAGGAGAATCACTACTCCATAAAGGCATCCCTATTATTCTCATCCAAAAAAGCAGCTACTTGCATGTAAAATATATATTCAGCACTCAGGGCATTAGTTAGTTGGATGCTTTATGTCACATAAGTAATGTACCCAGCTTAAGTATTATCTACATAATAGGGTTACTGTAAAAATAACATTAATTCTTAATTATAATCAATTTAATCAATTTAAAACACCACATAGTAATAATTATAAGTAACAAAGCTTGTGTAAAATGAAAAGGATGTCTTTTTTCTTTTACACTGTAAACTAAACAGGGAAAGTTCATCATCTAACTGATATAAATTCTTAAGAACCTAGAAAATTATTTCTAACTACATTCCCCTCCCATGTAAGTTGACAGTCTTGACTCATGCATGACCTATACTGTGGAAAAAGGTAGGAAGCTTCAGGTTGTCTGAAAAATTAATCATGCTGAACTTATTTTGTTTTCTTGCCTTAAAACTCTAAAAAAAACCTCTACACTTGGTTCAAACATCTTGAAATACTATTCTAGCCTTATGCCTAGCAACTTTAGGGAATCCCCTATCGAGAATTAAAGACTGAGGATCAAGTTTTGAGGGACTATCAACTTAAATTTAAATGTTACAAGCAGTAATTCTGAATTCATATTTTGCTTTGCAACAATGCATACAAATTCTTGCATTATACTTAACTTCAAAATTAATAATTGCACCCAAATAAAAAAAAACCCCACATTATACCACTACTCTACTATTTTACAAGAGCAAAAGGAGAAGGCAAGGATTATATTTATGCCACAGCTGCATTGTCAAATCGGTGATAGCGGCCATCTTCCACATCTTCTGAGTCTGCATCTTTTCTGTAGAGACCTGAAAATTAAACAACTTATACTCAGTCCAGATTCACTAACCTGCAGACAGAAATGCGAACTAGGTTTGAAAACTAACTCTTCCTGGTAGTTCTTAAGTTAAGTTTTTAAACATTAAAGTTTTGTTATTTTAGAGAAATTCATAGAACCTTTCCCCACAGTGAGCAGACCATGCCTCTCTTTTTCAAAGCAACCCCACCCACCCCCCTTCCCTTTATTATTCATAAAAAATAAAAATTCCAAATTTGTAAAAATCGATGGCATGACAAGCTTTTTAAACATCTCATAGCCAAATGAACAGCTGCAAAAAAAAGAAAAATTCAGAGCACTGTTTGTGTAATTTCATGTTGACTTCAAAGTTTCTTTTTCTAAGTTTCTTACTCTTTCATCTTGTTAGGATGATTTTCCTTCATTTTACAATCAAATTCTTGCTCACCACTTTGGACCAAGGTTTTTTTCAGAGCAAGCACACTTTGCTCTCCAAACAAGAACAATGAACAACGTAAGGGTCTTTATTGAGAGTGGTTTTTGGAAAATTTTCTTACCAGTAATTGTGTCAATTTGACACGAAGCACGCAAGCCTGTCTAATGGAAATCTTAAACCTTACCATCCTCTTGATCTGACCATTAATAAAGAAATTTACCATCCATCTTGCCACTGAAATACTTTCAGTATTGCATACACAAAAGTACTGTATATTAAGATTGTAAAATTTCAATTAGAATTCCTCATTTACCATATTTCTTCCTGATTTCATCATGCTTCTTCTTTCTCTCTTCACGCCTTCAAACAGAGAAGAAAAGCCAAAATTAAGTAAAACTACTGGAGGAAACTTAGTTGACATAACCAGGACTCAAATGCAGATGTTTTGATTTTTAGACACTCAGTGTCTACAGCTCCTGTCAGTTACAATAACATAAATTAAAACCTAAAGTTATAACCATGCAAACCTTTCTTTGTGTTTAATCTCTATTTCCTCCCTCTGACGACGCCACTTTGCTTCTTCTTTGCCAGGTCTAAGGAGAAACATTGCAAAACAGTAAGTCTTCTATGTACGTTTGCAATGCAACTGAGGCCATGCCGAGATGTAGAAGTAAAGTTACACACAGTAGCCCATAAGTTGGGACAGAAATCAAAATCTTTATCATCATTACTATATGTATCATGTGATTTACTGTCATACCCTCTTAGCTTCTTCTTGCGGCAACAGCAACAGTAGATACAACATCCTAATGCGACCAGTACCACAAACCCTGCCACTGGAATGGCAATGATCAGGACTTTGCCAGATACTTTAAAAAAATAAACAGAAAATGTAAGTTAAATCTCCAGTAGGTACGTTCAGAACAGAATACATAACTTTTTTTGATTTTAATCTTTCAAGCCTGAGAGTGACCATCATCTCCTTTTTCCTTGCAGTAATGCTGCTGAATTATTCATTAAAATCAAGAGAATGAAGAAAATTATTGCCAACTTTAGGAGCTTTGATTTCAAAACAAATTCTCCTTGTCCATACCAAGAGAAATGTACAGAGATGAGTATGGAGAATATAGATACAGATGTTGGGGCTTAAAAGGGTTACTAGTAACCCTTTTCTCCCTAACATCTGTATGCATATTCTCCATACTGTTCTTTAGACATTTCCTAAGGTGCTGATAAGGAGAATTTTTTCAACAATCAAGAGCTTCATCTGTCGGAGATCATTTACTTCATTCTCCTGACTTTAATGTGTGATTCAGGGGTGATATAGTAGGGAGAAATAAAATGTTAATCACTCTTAGGGATCAAAGGGTTAAGGCTCAGAGTGGTCATTTCCATATGGGTGAAAGCAATCTGCTATCAATAAGAACCCTGAGCACAAAATTACATCAAATCAATGTTTACACAATACATCATCCAGTAGAAAAATTATTGGAAAAAATACATCCACTGTACATAATAAAAATATTCCTTCCAAAATTCCATTTTGACAGCAAGTAAATGATGCAGATCATGTTGTTTAGTAAACAACACACAAGTGAAACTTCTTGTTAAAAGTAAAATAATCTTTAGAATAATAAGGGAAACACCCTGAAATAAATTCCTCTACAAGCTAAAAAGCTTATTGAACTTAATAGCATCTTTCTACCAAATTACTAACGAATTACATATATGATGGTTGATTTATCTAGCACAGAACTGGCCATTCTCTCACCAACCAGTAAAATCCTCAATCAATCTACTGTACATTCACTATACAACTTAGAAATTGTACTTACAGTAAGGCTATCAAACTTTGACTTAAATATTAAGAAACAAAACTGTGCACTGTACATCTAAAAGGGAAGAAGTAATTTCCTTTACAAAGACAGGCCACCTTGAACAAACAAATTTACTCACCCACACATTGCTTGTATTTCCAATCCTGGCTTCCACAAGCTTTATTCATTATGCTTTTTACAGAATCAAATTTCACACACTTGCTACTCCCCTCACAAAATGCACACTAAAGTCCAAGAAGAATTTAATGTAAGATAAGGAGATAAATGTTTTTCAAACAAGTTTTGGACTAATTTGCTGTGATTATCATGACTGGGCAGCCATTTTGTTCTCTTCAAGCACAAGCTGTATGATCAGAAGTATACCTGGCCTTATAAGGGCAGAAATAATATTTTACTGCAATTGTCCGTATACTTCTGTCAACCACTGCCTTGTCTATAACTTTTAAAGATTAACTATCAAATCTTCTCCCTAACAATTAGTAACTGTTAAAAAAGTCTTTTCCAGTACATTTCCTTCATATGCAACCCTATTTTTTCACACAAGATCTCATTAGTAATTCTCCTTACTATCAGCCATACAATTCCTTTAATATAAGTTTGGAGAATTTGGTATTAGATGAACAAACAATCTGCAAAACTTAATATTTTTCTATATTCTCATTACTTCTCTGCTTGATATTGAATTGGTATTATAAGGAGAAATTCTGTCTTGGTCAATCATGGGAGCTAAAGGGTTAAGTCTGAGATCGCAGAGCTCCACTGTGATAAATACTTAACGGTGGCTCTAAATACAGGCAAAATGAGGCAGTTCCTGTTTTCTAACTAGCTTACTGACCAGGAAATGTGTATCTAGTGTGTTTAAGTAAAGAACAATGCTTTATAAAGAATGTGAAAAAAAATTTTAAATTACATGGACAAATGAGCATATTTATACTGTTAGTTACATAATATTACTTTGTGAAAAGTCACACTGCTAAATCCTACACAAGTGAACAATACATTATCAGTACTAAGTTTGGGTCCTATTTGCAATCAACTCCACAGTGTCTTTCTTGCCTTCTAAGGATTACCTCCTTGATTAGCACAAGGGTAAAATTATTTTGGCTAAATACTACATTCTTTACAAGGTTGATTATTCATCAAAGGTAAATATTGATCCCATTATTTTTGACACCAGTTCTTGTTTTCATGGCTTTTGATTTCGTTGTGATTCATATGTTAGAATAGCAATGAAAAATACTTGACCAATATCATGGCTACCTAACCTAGTGCTGAGTCATGAGTCAATATGATTATGTAACAGAACATATGAAGACAGCACTCACCCCATCCTGTTCAATACAATCTTTGCAGGTCTTGTTACTGTATTGAAGGCACTTGTCTGTAAATGAGTAATAACAAAGTACAAAAATTATTTTAAAGATTGTGATTACTTTTAGAATATACAATCCAGAACTCTCAAATCTTATGTATTGAGCATAAAACACACAAAAATGAGTTCAATCTTTGGCTCTCACCCTGAAACTGTAATTTCTCTCACATTTAGGGTTTCTGATTTAAACTGCTGATTTTTAGATAGCAAACTGCTGCTTTATAATATCTATAAAACAACTCAACCTTTTAAACATAATTTGCTCCTTGTTCCCTTGCACTTGCTTTGAACACTTCCCTACATTGGAAATTCTTGCTCAGAATAAAGGAATACTTATCTCATGTACTTCAGTTTGTTCACAATTTTCCAGGAGAGTATGCCCTCCCCCCCCCCCAGATATCCCCTCCCCTCCATGGAAAGTAGTGTCTGTGACATCATGATCAATGGCCGTGGGGTCAAAAAACTTCCTCTTCAACAAATTGAAGACTCTAAATGATCTCTATCAAATCAGGGAAGTTATCATCCAAACTAACCAAAGATCTGCCTGTCTAGGCATGCAACTTCCTCATTGTAGTCTCACTTGAACCACTCAAAACAAAGGTATTTTTTAAGGATAACCAATCAAATTCAACATAAAACAGAAAAATTTCCTTTTCTACATATTAAGAACATTTTTCAGCTACCGTATTAACGAATCTTATCTGGCAAACTTTGACTGGCTAATTGATTGGAAAGAATGTCATGTTCAAGCAGGACTTCCTTGAAAACTGATAAACCCTATTTCAGTATTTCAGACAATAACATCACAAAAATAAGCTTCCGTGATCTAAGATAGTGACATTTGACCAGTGACCAAATCTTTCTTGATTCTGAGGATCACATCAGCCCAGGTTGTTCCCACATACATCAACAGACGTAATGAGTACTTACAAACCCTACATAAAGGACTGCATGTTTCATAAATAATCCCAGATTCAAACAATTCAATTTGTTACAGGCACAATGATAATTCTCTATACATTAGATACATGCCTTTTTTGTCCTTTTAACTGTACAAGCCATCTTAGGAAATAATTATTCTCAAGTAATGCTAAGTGTAAACATGACAGTGCAATAACTTTAATTTATATCTGGGGTCCCCTAAAAAATTCAACCATGATCGAGCTTTTTCCACTTGAAATACCTAATCTAGAGACAAACTTGAACTCAAGATAGTTGGTGTTTCTGATAAAAGTCCAAACACAGACAGAGCTTGAAAAGATAGTCAAATTTATAACCTTAATTTGTATCTCGTTCTATAAAATCTGGTTTCACGTTAAAACCTCTGTAAGGGCAAAAGACATAATCTGTCACCAGTTTGCGACGAGCATACTTCTCCTCGAGCAACAGTAAGACTTGCTTATCTAATGTGTCATCCTGATATCGACATCTCGTGTAAAGTAAACAAATACAACGAAAAAAACAGCATAATACTAAAAAGAACTGTAACATTTTCGCAGGTCTTGAAGACCTATAATGCTGGTATACAACTTATTCGCGTCTTTTTAACACTTGAATTTTAATATCTGTCTATAATCAAGCTATCAGAAATACCCATAGGGATAAAAATCAAATGAGAGAAGAATTGAAAGCCAGAGTACGTACTTATTTCAGTTTTGTAGATCACGTGAAAATCGAGTCGCCCCTCAAGGCTTAAATTTATCGTTGTGTACACACATTCTGTACATAACGATTCCCCTGTTAAAGTCGTTTCTGTCTGATTCAGAGCTACAGCACGTAACTTTGATTCATAACGTGTCAAAGAACATCGCTTTACGTGTTTCAGATACATCGGAGGTCCGTGATCGGACGTGTGAGATATTGAATTCCTATATATGGCTCTGAACAATCTACATTCAAACAGACGATCACTTCATCAACAATTTGACCCACCTTCTGCTTCTTTAGTTCCCAGACATAGTTGTACAAGGGAAAGCTGTATCAAACAAACCAATAAAAGCACGAAAGCACACGAAACACGGTTGTAAGGACGCATCATAACTCGAGGCCTCAGTGTTCTTTCCTCAATAAAGATTTCTACGCTGTCATATGAACTCTGGGAAGGGTATGACGTCATCACCTTTCATTGTGTTCGGTTGTTATTGACATCATCCACAAATTTGATTGGCTTGTTAAAAGTTGTAATTGTGATTTATTACGCTTGAAAAAAATTAAAATATTCATTTCACTTTCTGTTAAGGTTGCCAAATGTTTGTTATATCAACCAGTTATGATCCATTTATTCTTCGAGAACTCGACTCGAGCTGATACGTGGAGCCCTCCACTGGGGGTGGCGTAGTGGAGATGGGATTATGTTCCCGAAAAATGATTACAATACAATTATGCTTTGGTGAATCATTGACGCTTTATCACTCGCTAGGTTCGGAAAATTTGTAAAAAAATGCTCTATCATCGATGCACTATGTGTTTTGTCGTTGTTTGTCCGTTTTTTATTTTGCTTTCGAGAAAAAGTCTCTCTGCCTCATTCGACATGCTTAAACGTAATGCTGGGAGACCTTCGGGGAACCAATAAGGGTCCAGTACATCTTTTCGAGGTATATACACTGGTGAGCTTCCGGGATAAAATTTACGTAAGAACATGGAAAGGATATTATAAAGTTTTCTCCGTAACTGGAACCGCTTTGTTTGGGTTTTTCCTTCTTTTTATAAGTTCTCGAGAAATTACTTATTGGCTTTGCGATTGGACTTCGTCAGGTAAATAGCTATTCAAAATTATGAGTTTGTCATTTTTTTTTTAAAGTCAAAATATTTAGACAACTTAATGGCTGTCAAAAAGAGTAAGTATGAATATTTTATTTGGTGACTCATCTGCATTTGAAATCGCAGTATGGGGCACGAGTTGATTTACCTATCAAACATCAAATGTTTCAGACGCACGTAGATCTTAGTGATAGAAATGTAATGAATATCTTAGCCTGAGATCGGATTAATTAACCGTTGTTATCCGGGTAGTAGTTTCAGGTCGAACCAGTGTTATCCGAAACCAAAATAGAAGGACCTTTCATTAAAGGTAAGAAACTCTAGTTTCAGATAAACTTTATAAGTTTCTTATCAAGCCAACCTTGGTTTTAACGTATGGGAAATAATATTTACTTCGAGCAAAACAAAGAAAAGTCCAGAAAGGACTAGAAAGAAAACCGGATAGTAATGCTCCACATGATTTGTGATCCATCCTTTCATTGCTAAGTTTACAAGGTTAACAAAACTGATGAAGGATCGCTTTTCAAATTAGCTTCGCAAGGAAAATTTCCGTAAAAGTTGAACAGAACTGATAAATCATGGTTAAAATGAATGAATAGGTATTTTCTTAAAGATTTTCTGATGTACTCATCGACCGCTGATTACAATACATCGGCCTCGAATTTTAGAGGAAGTCTGTTAGGTCACAACAAGAGACTAGAAATAGTTCAAATTCTCTCGGTCACTTTCGGCGCATTTCGGAAACAGTGTCGCATCAATTTATCATGTGCCAGTTACTTGCAATCTGTTGGTGTACATATTCCCCGTCCCTGTTACCCTATGCATGTTAGTTTAACTCTCCATCGCAAAATGATATAGATCACAATGAAATGCAGGCGTTATGTCTATCTCTAACGAGATCAGACGGGCCGCTACCAGCACAGCGAACCATCCCGAAAGAGATATACATGTTTTTATTAACATTGACTCCCGTACAAACTGTCTCCAAAATATTGGCACACCCAGAAAAAATATCTACAAAAGTAAAAACTTCCCTTCAACGAAACTCGACACTTTCCAGCTTGAAACTTCTTGATACGTGTTTCAGTTGAGTGATGCATCCGCTATTAGAGACTAAAAATAATTAGTAAATAAATAATGCTAAAAATTTTATACAAAAATGCTCTATCATCGATGCGCTTTCTGTTTTGTCGTTGTTTGTCCGATTTTTGTTTCGTTTCCGGGAAAAAGTCTCTGTGGCCTACGAAAAAATTCCTGCCACATTCGACATGCTTAAACGTAACCCTCGGAGACCGTCAGAGAACCGAATAAAGGTCCAGTTTTGAGGTAAACACACTGGTGAACTTCACCGAAAAAAATTTACTAAAGAACATGAAAAAGAGACTATAACGTTTCTCCATAACTGGAACCGCTTTTTTGGCTTTTACTTTCTTTTTATAAGTTCTAAAGAAATTATTTATTGGCCTTGCGATAGGACTTAGTTAGGTAAATAGCCATTCAAAATTATGAGCTTGTCATGTTTTCTTAAAAAAAGAGTCAAAATATTCTGACAAATTAATCGCTGTCAAAGAGAGAAAGTATGAATATTTTACTCGGTGACTCACCTGTATTTGAAATCGCAGTATGAAGCACCAGTTGATTTACACATCAAATGCTTCAGAAGAAAGTAGATCTTAGCGACAGAAATGTTATGACTATCTTAGCCGGAGCCTGAGATCGGATTAATCAATTGTGGTTATCCGGCTAGTAGTTTTAGGTCGAACCAGTGTTATCCGAAACCAAAATAGAAGGACCTTTCAGTAAATCCAAGAAACTTTAGTTTTATAAACTTTTCAAGTTTCTGATCAAGCCATCCTTGGTTTAACATATAGGAAATGATGTTTACTTCGATCTAAACAAAGAAAGTCGAAAATGAACCAGAAAGAAACCGGATAGTGATGCTCCACATAATTTGTGATCCATCCTTTCATTGCTAAGTTTACAAGGTTAACACAACTGATGAAGGATCGCTTTTCAAATTAGCTTTGCAAGGAAAATTTCTGCAAAAGTTGAATAGAACTGATAAATCATGATAAAAATGAATGAATAGGTATTCTCTTAAAGATATGCTGATTTACCTATCGACCGCGGATTACAATTCATCGGCCTAGAATTTTAGAGGAAGTCTGTTTGGTCACAACAAGAGATTATAAACAGTTCACAATCTGTTGGTCACTATCGGTGCTTTTCTGAAACAGTGTCGCATCAATTTTTCATGTACCAGTTACTTGCAATCCGTCGGTGTACATATCCCCCGTTCTTGTTTTACTTTTTCATATTCGTTCAACTCTCCATCGCATAATGATATAGATCACAATGAAGTAGACGGCGTCATGTCTATGTCTAATAAAATCAGACGGTCCGGTACCAGCACAGCTAACCATCCCGAAAGAAATATAAATGTTTTTATTAATATTGACTCCCATACAAACTGTCTCCTAAATATGGGCACACCCTCGAAAAATACCTACAAATGGAAAAATTAAAGAGAGGTGAAAAAACTCACCTGTAACGAAAGTCGCCACTTTCCATCTTGAGAGTTATTGACGTGTTCTAGTTTAGTGATGCATCCGCCACTATAGACAAAAAGATATTTAAATATCAAATAATGCTAAAAACTCGTCCTGAAAATCAAATCTAACCCTTCAAAAAAAAGCAACAACAACAACAGAAAGGAAGACCATCAACCAAAGATGAAAGCATCTCTATAAATTTCCTCGTGTGCATTTTTCGTTTGTTTGAGACGACTAGCTTTTATTCAGAAAAGATAAGCAATGACGTATGTGTAATGGTTTTCCGAGAAAATGAGACTAACCACGTGACATATCGTTTTTAACCAACTTCCTGAATTTCTAGGAAACAAAATTTTCTGTTCTTACGAATCGTTTCAAACACAATTTGCCTTCATTTCGCCGAAGAATTTGTGGCAAAAGATGGATTTCATGGAAAAGACGACGAGGTTTGTAAAAACTAGCCCCAGAGTTCAGTAAATTATCTGAATTTATAACATAATAAGAAAAGCTCAGGCGAAATTGCAAAGGTGTGAAGTCAGTTAACCTAACAAAAGTCCTTGTTTGAGTCATCCGTTTGCGAAATAAGCATCAATTATGGAGCTGCAACGCGTAATTTTAGTTATCGTCAGTAGAAGCATCAACACCATCCAAATGCTTTCAATATTGAATCTCGATGCAGTTATGTAGCAGCAGTATTCGCAAGGAATTTCACCAAGAAATGGGCAAAATACACTATGTTGCAATTTTGAACGTAAGAGGGGTTTTGAAATATTCTCATTTACCAGCGGTTGAATTTCGCATAAAGAGCTCATTCACCGGCATTTGCCATGTAGATCAGTTTATGATATACAGCAGCGAAGTTCAGCCGGAATTAACTTTAATAAATTTCTACTATAATTATTGAAACACTTTTTAGATAAGCCATTCTTACGAAGCCAAGGATTCCATCGTATCATTAACAATGGGTGAGTAGCAAGTTTGATTTCATGTTTTCCACATGTTATCTTTGTTAAAACGCTAGGAAATGTTACGTACTGTAAGATATAAACCTTTCATAAACGAAATAACCTCCGTGCGAAGTTGGCTCCATGAAATGTCACTTCTCTAACTACAAAGAAGCCAGTAAGAGTTTTAAACATCACGTATTGGATACCCCACCATTGGCTAACCAGGTGGTGAAGACGTCAGATAAATGCAGATAGATAATATTTAACGCTACCCAGGTACAAGAGGCGGCATTTCAAACTGGTAGGCAGTGTAAATAGACAAGCAACACTAACAGGTAGTGTTAAGCATCAGGCAAACGTAGCAGAACTTATGCTACAGGGGGAAGCTATGTGTAGATTAAATATGCAGGGCAGAAAAGATGCAAGCAAATAGGAAATAGACAAGCAGAACCTCAGTACGCTATACAGTTGGTAGGCAGTGTAAATAGACAAGTAACACTGACTGGTAGTGTTAAGCATCAGGCAAACCACGTAGCAGAACCTATGCCACAGGGGGAAGCTATCTGTAGATTAAATATGCAGGGCAGAAATTTTCAAGAGTTGGTAATTTTACTTGATATAGAGTATAACCACAGTCATTAACAGAGGAGAGAAACTGTTTGACTGCAGACAAAGACAAATTGTGACTGTGAGTAGTGAATATGAACCTGCAGCTTAATAGGGTCATTTAAATCATTGCATGTATGCATGCAGACATGCAACACATAACCACAATGTTCTGTTTTGACAAAGGATACTGAAACAAAGCAACTTCGGGGTTAGTAATTAAATGCTGAGTGGTCAAGGAAGGTAGCAATACATTGTTGATTAGATGCGAGACATCATGGTGATGCTATGTAGGAGATGCTAGAAGTTAGATGCTTAGACAAAAGACAGAGACAGATTGTGACTGTGAGTAACAAATATGAACCTGCAACTTAATATGGTTATACAAATCATTGCATGTATACATGCATACATGCATTACATAACAACAATGTTCCATTTTGGCAAAGGATACTGCAACAAAGCAACTTCAGGGTTAAGATTAGTGCTGAGTGGTCTAGGTACACAGCAATACATCAGTGACTAGATGCGAGAAATGATGGTGATGCTATGAAGGAGATGCTAGTAGTTAGATGCTTAGATCCCAGTGGTTAGACATCTGCAATTTTTTCTTTAAGTATTGAATTAATGAAAATCATGAGGGAATTTTCTTGATAGTCACTGACAATATCATTTTCTTATTAGCAAACAATGATGACGATGGATTTGATTTGATTAGGCCATCTTTGATCCAGCAATTAAGAACCATCCTAGATCAGTACCCAGATGATGGACAGATATTGAAGGTATGAAGAAATCAAAGTGCTCTGTGAGCAAACTCGTGAATTGACACATGATTTTTTGGATTATTTTTAATGTTATCTGGTTTAGGGAATTTTGTGGTTGATTGTCATATCTAGAGTACGAGCAGTAGTTCAGTGTTCGCTAATGTAGCAAAGAAACAAAGTAAAGTTGGGATAAGAAGGCATTACAAATATAATGATCATGCTATTGCATTTGACAAGGGTGGATGATGTCATGTGTTTTAAACGTATATCATTTCTGTTACTGTTTCAAAAAAAAAGGTTGGAAGTGAATGTGGGTAAAAAGTGAAATTTACTGTCTATCATTGTAAATATTAGAAAATCAAGGCAATACTGTCTTAATGAAAACATTAATGATTCCCTCTTTATCAAATGAGACAAACGGGAACGAGTTTTGAGTGATATAACTAAGCCAAGACTGCCACCGTCATTTTGGAACTCCGCCTGGGTAGATTTTAGTCACGTGCTAGGCAACGTACTGAATCAATAACAAGATAGAATTTCATTTCAGGCCTATTTATCAATTTTGTGGTGTATAACTTTCGCATTTTAGTACGTAATATGTATTTTGAATCTTCAAATTGTCTTGAAACTTAAAAGAAAATTGTTCTTTAAAAATTCACTGAAAATCGGTAGCTAAAATTGTTTGTTTAGGTGTTATTTGATTTTCGTGTTAACTTGTAATTTCGTTAGTCGCCGGCATCTTCTGTTGCTTCACACAGGGAAAACACACGATACGAAGCGTAATGATCGATTTTTTCCTCAATCTCACGCCGTAGCAGAAAAAGCTTTTGAACATCTGTAAACTCCGAGCGCTTCGCAGTAAAGGATATTTTCAATGAATCTTCGGATTGTTTTCAAATTCAAGGATTGTAAATTACAGTTTTATGAAAAACGAAGGTTGTTCTGTTATTTCAGTGTGAACCTTGCATGCCTGCCAGTCGCTGGCGCCGCTTGTTGAAACTAAAACGAAAAAAAAAAAAACTCTTTTAAGATTATAGTTAGCTTCTTTGTCACCCCACCACTATTCTTAGCAACAAAGGTCACCATTTCGTTTGTTTTTTGCTCGCCAAAAACTATCAAATGCACTCAAAAGCCTAAAATCGAAAAAAAGTTTACAGGAATCGACCAATCGAGCGAGCGAGCGAGCAAGCGAACAAATGCCATTCCCCACATCGTATCTACAACTCGCTGTTGCGCATGCGCGCAATTCACGAGTTAAAAAGAGCCACCACAACTAGTCCTCTGAAAGGGGGGGGGTGGGTTATTGTTACTTTTAGACATCCATCCTTTCAATTGGTATTGTGTGAGGGTTAAGCGAGTGGGGAGTGCCAGACCTCGAGTCGAATATCACAATTGGGTAAAGAAGATAACTGTTTATATTAACACTTTGATTTCAAAATTTTGTATGCTGTGTTTATATGGAACAATGATGCATACAAGAGTTTTCAATTCTTTTCATTTGTGTGCTTAATATCTTTTCTGGTCTTCTGTAATTTACATCTTGAAATGTGTTTGGTTGTATCAGGAGCTCATCCAAAATGCAGAGGATGCACACGCAAGTCATGTAAAATTCCTCCACGACAAACACAGCTATGGCACAGCCAAACTTCATCACCAGGGTATTGCTCAATTTCAGGTAAATTTGTTTATCAATGTGCAAGCTTTACATTCCCTTTACTTTTCACTGTTACAGTCAGAAATAGCTTGTTGGCTTGAATCGATCAACTTTGAATTTACTTATTTCAGTATTAAGCAACAATTAATTTGTTGTTAAAAGCTCCATATAGATTAGACTCAACTAAATCTGCGTGGCTAATACAAACTGGTCTCTTAATTGGGAATAACACATCCTGACTCATTAATTGTTCGTTTTGTAAAGTGACTCCTGATTGTTTTCATGTATCAGGGCCCAGCACTTTATGCATATAATAACGCCCAATTTACAAAAGATGACTGGAAGGGCATACGGATGTTGTGTGATAGTATCAAAGTCAAAGACCCGATGAAAGTTGGCCGTTTTGGTCTTGGCTTTAAGTCTGTTTTCCATATGACAGGTGAGTCTCTTGAATCGCTATGTTCTCAGAACCTAACGTGAATGTTTCCTAGGAATTTTCCATTATATTGACCGTTTGGATTGATAGTTATAGCTAAATTCTCTGAAAGAATCCTTTAAATGAGTTTTAGTTTAGATTATTTTCTTGTCATTTAGTATTTGTTTACATATTTTATTCTTATTTTATGTGAGCCTCTGGCTTGGGAGTCTGTGGTATCACTCCTTACATTTAGACAAAAGTTAACAAAAGTTACTGGTTCATGATTTTAAATTGTAATACTAAGAATACAAATAGACATCAAATTCACCAGAGAAGCTTACCATTTGACGGAAGGTTGCAAATTTTGGCTGCGCTTTAAATTGTGGGGATTTTTCAGGGGATTTTTTTTGTCGCTGATTAATAGAAAATCGAAAAATTGGCCGAGGTGGAAACCCGGAAAATGTTTGTACTTAAAGAAAAACTCATGCTTGTGCTATCCTTGCAGATACAGTTATTACCTTCGTGTAATCGTATTTATCTCTGCTTTGCTTGCTTGGTGCTGTGAAAAGCAACAATTTTTCTCCGATTTTGCAAAGATGTGTACATATATTCGATTGTTAAAATGCGACAAAGTTATATGTGTTCGTTTTCAGATTTACCAAGTATCGTAAGTGGTTCGCAGATCGGAGTGATTGATCCGCACGAAGAGTATTTTAGCGACGAAAATGGCAAACGAACCGGTCACAGGTGGCGATTGAAAGAGGACCGAGACATCATAAACAGCATCCCAGACCAGTTTCAGCCATACAAAGGGATACTCGATTGTACAGAGGAAAACTTCAAACAGGGATCCTATAATGGGACATTGTTTCGTTTCCCTTTAAGGACAGAACCATCCAAGTTATCGCCGACGTTATACACTACCCAAAAGGTGCACACGTTGTTTGAAAGTTTTGAGGCAGATGCTCATTTGATCCTTCTCTTTCTTCAGTATCTGGAATCCATAGAGCTTTTTGTTCGAGAGGAAAAGGACAGTGACGCCAGAAAAACGTTTCAAGTCCGAATCACCAATAATACCCTAAAGTTAGTGCGAGAAAAGAGGAGTGAGTTTCGAAGCAAGATCTCATCAGGTGAACTATTGCCAGAAGCTGCTTGGGTAACTTATCCTATTACAATCGAGGCAATTACCTACCCCAAAGGCTTCCCAAGTACGTTAGAGCGACATTCGTTTCTGGTTACTAACTACTTTTGTGGAGGAGAAATATCGTCAGAATTTAGAACCTTGGCTTCAGATCAAGATCTCAGCTATCTGCCTTTGGTAGGCATCGCCATGGAGTTGCCAGAACGCCCTGGACAAGAAACGCCAGACATGAAAGGCCACGTATTTTGTTTTTTACCACTACCAGTACAGAAGACAAGTTTGACAGGATTGCCAGTGCACATCAACGGCTTCTTTGCTTTGAGTCAGAACAGGCGATACATAAAGACGCCTACAGCTGAACAAGAAGATCTGGCTGAGAAGGAAGGCCAGCCCCTGACTGACAAGTCATTGTTATGGAATCAGTGTCTTCTGCAAGAGGCAATCCCTAAAGCGTATGCTTCTCTGCTGCTGGATGCTACGGACGAGCAGAACTACAACGTGCAAAGCGAAGCCGTGTACAAGTAAGCGTGTGTGCCCCTATAATATAATTACCTCTTTTTGCTAAAACTATATGTAGCAAAGAGCTCAAGAAGATGAGTTGACGGAAACAGCTAAAATGCATGTCGGTCTCCTTTGAGACTGATTGTGTCTCTATTGTTGATAAAAGTCTACTAACTCATGCTCAAACAGTTTATGGAACTAAAAGTCCTTCTTTAGTTTAAACAGTTTCCCATAATTTCTCCTTTGAATAGAGCATGGCCTGATACAACTAACATCGATCAGAAATGGAAAAGAGTGGAGAAACCCCTATTTGAGTTGCTTCTTGACAAAAGCATCATCTACACTCCGGCTCAAGGAGGAAAATGGATAAAATTGGCAGACGCGATCGTTGAAAGACTTGCAGGAAGTGATCCTAAGGAATTGCTGGTGAACGTTTTTCTTGCAGCGAATGAAAACGTCGCCTGTTTACCCGAACACGCCCTAAAAGCCATTTTCTTGTACTCAACGTTGAGTGCAGAAATAACACCTTCGTTGACGCGAAGAGTCCTAAAGAATGTCCCCTCTAGCTACTCAAACTTAACACGGTCAGAAAAACTTTTGCTGCTGAAGTTTGTTCTCAAAGACGGTTGCCTTTCTGACCTACTTGGATTGGTGCTATTACCAATTTCCAACGAGCACTTCATTTCGTTTTCTAATACGGGAGAGGCTGTTTATATTTCATCACCAGCACATCCCCGTGAACTTTTACCGTGTCCACGACAAAAGTTCCTTGATGAGAACATCGACAAAGATTTGTCACGAAAACTGGATGCAGTCGCAAAACAAGGTATTCAAATTGGCAGTAGTTGTTACGACAACGAAAAGAGCCATACGAAGAACTAAGCTGGTGCTTTGCATCTAAAAAAAAATATTATACTTAATCCTTCTAGTCTACCAGGTCTAGAACCTTGAATTGCAAAGTGCCAATTTAAAAGATCATCGTATTTATCCCACGGAAGAAATCGAGACAATTGAGATCTCTGAGTTACCTTTTTGCTATCATGTAGGCAATTCACAATTATTTTACCTATTATTTTCTCAACTTTTATGATTTTGTATGGTAACCTGTTCCATTTATGCGAGACCTGTTTTCACAATAGTGCCGTATTTAGAGGCAGTATGTCTGAAGTTTTTCACTTATAAAAGCCAATTAAGATTTGCTGAAGAGTCACGTTACTTTTCGAACAGGGTGCACTCAATTACGGCATTTCACCAAAGATGACGTTGCCAGACTTCTCCCGTCGTCACTCCCACCTGGATGGTTAGAAGGAAAACACATTTTGTGGAATCCTGGAGTCGGAGGCCATCCGTCCAATGACTGGTTAGGAAATTTGTGGGCATACCTAGGAAAGAACTTCCCCTCTGTAGACGAGCTTTGCAGACTTGAAGGCCTGCCACTACTTCCACTCGATATGTCTGAAGCTCCGATTACCCTCGTGAGACTTAAGCAGCTATCTGATGTTGTGGTGAGAAGCCTTCATGGCGATTCTTTAGACGACGCTATTGTCGGAACTTTGAAAGCGCTTGGAGTTACAGTAATGCAAGGATATCCAAGGTTCCTTGGCCTGCACCCTTCCGTTTCGAAAACGTTTGTTCATCCGCCATCAGTTCAAGGGGTCTTAAAAGCTTTGGCAGCTTTTCTTACCTTAAAACCCACCGCCGTGCAAACCACAACAGACGATGGTAAACGATGTTTTAGGAAGTTTGTTGCCAAAGCCTCTTCGTTAAGTCCAGATGAGAAGAAAGTCTTGAACTGCATACCGCTGTTTGAGACTATGTCCGGAGCCTTTGTTTCTAAAAGTGATGGCCTTTGCGCTGCACCTGACGAAGCGTTTCCAGTGAAAACCCTCAGAGATCTCATCGACATTCGAGAGAACGATACAAAGAGACTAGCAAGCTTGTTAGACATCCAAGTCTTGACACGTTCTGAGGTTTTGCTTGAGGTGATATTTCCGGATGTAATAGGTCAGCGTTACTCTACTGAAGAAATTGACAGACTCATGGGATTCGTGATGGATAGATATCACGTTTACGCCGCAGAGGATGGGCGATTTCAGAATCAGTTAAAAGACCTGCCCTTTGTCTCAACTAAAAATGACAGAGTGAGACCTAAGGAGGTGTTTGATCCCAGAAAAGACTTCTTAAAAAGAATTTTCGTGGAGGAAGATGTGTTCCCTGTTGGAAAGTACGTTCAACCTACAGCTCTAGTAATCTTAGAGTACCTTGGCATGAAAGGCGAAGAAGATATCACGGGGCACAATGTGTACGAAAGCGCAAAAGCAGTGAATAAAATTTTTGATTTTTCTGCAGCGGAAATGAAGTCATCAGCGATCATGTCATTCCTAACTAGCAATCCGGCAAAATTTGAAGAGATCGTCTCTGGAACGTCAGGTTTAGGAGAGCTCTGGAAGTATCTTAAGGGTATTCCATGGGTCTCTGTGATCAGACGAAAACCTGACGACTTCCCCGAAAGCCTACCGTTCTGGGGAGAAACGCACTCAGAACCTTATTTCCTAAAGCCTTCAGATGTCAAGTACAAACAAGCAGCAAACATCATTGGATCAGTAAAACCACTTGTCAAAGCTGGGCCATGTAGCCAATTAACCTGCTTCTTTTCATGGGACGCAGACCCGGCTGTTGTGGACGTCGTGCAGCACTTGCTGAATGTAATAAGTTGCTACAGTCCACATGACAAGCCCCGTTACATTATCATCGCCCAGGAAATGTACACCTTTTTCAGTCGTGCAAATCATAACGATGTACTTACTGCTTTTGAGAATGTCAAGAACCTTCCGTGGATTTGGAACGGAGATGGATTTTCTTCCCCTAGATTCCTGATATCTCAGAAACCTCCGATTGATCTGTCACCATATATCTGTTCCCTTCCCTCAGAGGTGGCAAGATTCTACGAGCTGTTTGCAAAGTTTGGCTTACAAGAGAAGTGCGATGACGCATTCTTGCTGGAGGTTCTTCACCTAATAAAAGAGAAGTACGATAATCACCCTCCGCCTCCTACGGCAGAGGTACGGAAGGACTTGCAGTTGTCTGTGGACATTTTGAATGAAATTAAGCCAAACGTTGGAGATCAGTTGCCGCCCGAACTTCAAGAAAAGGTGCTCATTCCGACACACGTGGAAGACGATGCGTATGTTAAGCTTGCACCAGTTGAGAGATGTATGTACTGCGAACATGATTGGCTAGAAAGAAGTAACCATGATGGAGAAGAAGATGAAGGCATGAAATACTTTTATGTACATCGAAACATTCCAAACAGCACAGCTGAACTTTTGCGCGTTCCAACGTTGATGAATCGAATGTTGGAGCCAGACGAGCTCGATTTTGGAGAGGAATTCGGACAAGAAGAAAAACTTACCCGTAGACTTAGCAGACTTCTGGAGGACTACTCTGATGGCTTTGCAGTACCCAAAGAGCTTGTTCAAAACGCAGACGATGCAGGTGCCACTGAAGTGAGATTTCTATATGACGAACGAACGAACCAGGATGCCATTACCTGTCTGATTGACGAAGAAATGAAACACTGCCAGGGTCCTGCTCTGTGGGCCTACAACGATGCCGAATTCAGAGACGAAGACTTTACAAATATCACAAAATTAAACGGTGCCACAAAAGAACAAGAAACTGAGAAAATTGGAAAATTTGGACTTGGTTTCAACGCGGTCTACAATCTGACAGATGTTCCGATGTTCTTGAGCAGAAATTACTTTGTGATTTTTGACTTTTATATGACGAACGAACGAACCAGGATGCCATTACCTGTCTGATTGACGAAGAAATGAAACAAGTACCAGTTTTATTCACTATGGCCTAGAGCGTGTGAGGTAGAGCAGAACTGCGAGCCCCTTGCGCGTTCGTTCTATCAAAGTTTGGCGAGTGGAGGCTACTCTCTCTTTTCCAATGGAAGCCAATGGGTGGACATCGATCATGTGGTTTTTCTGGAGCCTAACTTTCGGTATGATCCTAAAATCGGAGAGCTGTCTTTTGAAGTTTTGAAGTTTTTTAAGAAAGAGGATACAGTCATCATTGATCTTTCAGCTGAGGTATACCAGTCATTTGTCAGCTATGATCTCGTGACAAAAATCCAAGAGAAAAACTACGACAAGAGTAAATTCTTCCGTGAGTTATTCTTTCCAAATATTGCTTCGGTTCCACCACACCTGCGAGACCACCTGGTATTGTACGCACTTGATGACAAAGATGGAGAGTTTGACGATCTAATCAAGTCATACGCGTGTATTCCAACCACACCAAATGGTCGAAAACTTAAGTGTCCTGCCCAACTCATCAACCCGACCAAATTAGCTGCCTCTCTGTTTAGCCCGGAGGATGAAATGTTTCCATCTGGAACAAGAGACACCTTCCAGAACGGTTTACGACTTGCCAAACTTGAGGAACTTGGAATGTTGGCAGATGATCTCCCGTGGCCACAGCTTGCAGAAAGGGCGCAGAGTATCAGTTTATTAAGTGATCATTGTAGTGAATCAGCATTGAAGCGTACAAAAGATCTAATCGATCATCTAGAAAGAAATTTGATGAATGGTAATGAAAATCGTGCTTCCTTTGAATCTCGGGAAACATTTTTACACGCCAGATTTTTGCCGGTGCTTCAGAGGCCTAAAAGTTTCCCACTCCCTTGGAAAGCAGATGAATTTCAATTTAAGAATGGTCGAGTATTCATGTCTCCTACAGAGTCCTTTCCAAAGAGAGTAAAGAATCTAGTCTGCTGCACTGAGCCAGTACTTGAGTTACACTTGCCAACCATCGTCCAAGAATTCCTGCAGTTGGACACGAAACATGCTACATTAAACCATGTTAAAATGCAACTTAACATTGCCGCGTCTGTTAGCACACAGAATCTGGACCCCTTGGAGATCGAAAGCTTGAAAGAAGTTTGCTTGGCAGCGTACAGGTATCTCGAGGAAGCTCTTTGTACCAAGTGCATCACAGAGGAGAAAGTGAGAGGGTTGTTTGGCGGGAAAAAGTTTATTTTCTGTGAGGGGGAATTTGTCTTAACGGAGAAAGTGGCTTTTGAGCTGCATTACGATTGTTCTCCATATCTTCGCCAGCTTCCACAAGATTTAGCAAAACGTTTTGAAAGCTTCATGAAAACTGCTGGAGTGAAGGCTGCCTTCGATGTCGATGATTTCAAAGCTTCTTTGAAGCAAATGAAACACACATTTGGGGAGGAAAATCTCGATGAGGAGAGCATTCAAGTAGCAGTTAATATGGCTGTCCAACTGGGAAATATTTTAAAGAGGCGTAGTACACAAATTGTCGGAGATGAAGGAGAACAAGATACAGTCTTTCTTCCTGATTCCTTGGGTGTGATGAGACCTGTTGGTGATCTCTGTATGGGAGATTGCGATTGGATACCAGACGACAGTGATGTACGCCTTGTAAATGAAATGATTCCTTTTCCAGTGAGTACCCGACTTGGTGTCAAGACCCGTCGCGAGGAAACTCTAAATCGTTTCTCTACTGGGATTCCTTTCGGACAAACCGAAAAGCTTGAAAATCGTCTAAGGCGGATTCTTACAGCCTATCCATGTGAGAAAGAAATACTGAAAGAACTTCTTCAGAATGCTGACGATGCACAAGCAACAGAGATATGCTTTATCAGCGACCCTCGACATCATTCTGACGAAAAGGTATTTGGAGACTCCTGGAAATTGCTCCAGGGCCCTGCGTTGTGTGTGTACAACAACCGACCATTCACGGAGGCTGATGTTATTGGAATACAAAATCTCGGCGAAGGCAGTAAAGGAGACGATCCCAACAAAACTGGCCAGTATGGTGTTGGTTTCAATGCTGTGTACCATCTAACGGACGTACCGTCGTTCATCTCTAGTGGTGAGGAGATAGGGAACGTTTTGTGTGTATTTGATCCCCATCACAAATACGTACCAGGTGCAACTGAATGGAAACCAGGAAGGATGTTCAGAGAAATGGAAAAGGTCAAAAAATTATTTCCAGACGTTTTCTCTTGCTACGAACAGAAAGAGTGTCCCGTGCAGGATTCGACAATGTTTCGTTTTCCATTACGAACCGAAGAGATGGCGAATAGCTCTAAGATATCCAAGACCCCAGTAACACCCGACGCGTTAAAAGACATGATGAAATCACTAAAAGAAGAACTCTTCGAGGTTCTGATCTTTGTGAACAACGTAAGGAGGATCACCTTGTGTGACATAGACCCTACAACTGGAGAAAGAATAAATGTTTACTCAGTCGCAGCAGTAATGTCGGAGGAGGACGAAACGAAAAGGCAAGAGTTTGCCACCTTTATGAAGAACATTAGAAAATCAGCTGAACAACCGAGCGACCTTTACCCATCTGACATCGAGGTTAAAAAGTGTTCATATGTTCTGAATCTTCAAGACAACTGTGGCAACCAAGAAAAATGGTTAGTTGTTCAGCAAGTTGGCTTTGAGAAACAGCTGCAACAAAGCATAAGAGATGCTTACAGAAGGGGAGATCTGGGAATGCTGCCCCGTGGTGGAGTTGCCTGCCTTCTGGAAAAAAGTTCCACGCTTAATGAGCCTGCAAGTAAAGCGAAAAGAGCTTACTGTTTCCTTCCACTTCCTCTCGAGACTAGTCTCCCATTACACATCAATGGACACTTTGCATTGGCTCATGAGTCAAGAAGAGATTTGTGGAGAGACGAAGCTGGTGGTTATCGCACCGACTGGAACAATGCCCTGCTTGGAGACGTGATTTCATCATGTTACCTGACACTTCTGGATGAAGTCAGGGGTTTTTTTCACCTTCAAATCTCTCTCAATTCGGCACCAAGTAAACTTCAATGTAACAAGGATGCTTTGTTTACAAAGATTTATGAGTACGAAAAGCTTTTCCCTCTATATATTTCAGAAGAAACCTACTGGGCGACCTTGATACGATCCGTTTATCGAGGGATGGACGAAAAGGGATTAACACTCCTCCCAGTGGTGAAAGGTGGCGGATCAGAAAGGAATGACGAGGAGACTCAACTTACGTGGCTTCCTCCAACAGGCGAGGGTAAAGAAAAGGCATTTTTCAATAATCTTGGAGTAAGTGATTGTTTCGCTAGAAAACCGAGACGTCCCCCTCTTGAAAGCGACCTGGAAAAAGAGGAGAAACAAAGAACGGGAAAGATAAGGAGGTTCGAAGACATTCTTCTACAAACAGGTTTTAACCTTGTGAAGTTCTCGATTTTAGTGTATGATGCACTGAAAAAATCTGACGTGGAATCGCATTGTGTCTCACCTTCTGCAGTAATGGCGTTCTACAAGACTTTTAATGATGACAATCCGCTCTGCTGTGTTGGACCTATGTGTGTTCATATCAAGAATACGCTATTTAAGGAGATTGAGAACGTTTTGCTTGTTCTGAACTACTGCAAAGATGACGAAAACTTCCTGGAAAATCTGTCAGGACTGCCTTTGCTCGCAACACAGAACAATCACCTACACATTTTCAGTCCACATGATCCTAAGTATATATCGTGTCATCATGGTATCTTACCACAGTGCAGTGAGATGTTTGTCCACAAAAATATGAGAATTCACATCTTTAACGCCGCGAAGAGTCAGGAGTCACCTGTCTTTAAACGTTTTGGAGTTGAAGATTTTGCCACATTTTTGGATCGAACCCTACCATATGAGTATTCTACCAGCAGTGGCTTCGTTGCATGGTGCCCGACACAGGAATCAGTGCCTAATAAGCAATGGGTGGAAGCAGTTTGGAAGTTTTTGGATGAAGAAACAAAATTTAAGGAAGAGGGGAAAACTCCATCACAAGGAGAAGAGATTGAGAGAATCAAAAAAATTCTTCAACCACTGTCAAATTGGAGTATTCTTCCATGTAATGAAACAATCCAGATGGCACCATCAGGCAGAACAGAACACTTCCTTGTTCCCCTTAATCTCGCTCAGGCTGTACTTGATTTTTCAGGCTCCGATATCGATGCCGATATTAGCAAACTTGTTGAGTCTTTGAGGAAGCTGAGCCTAGCTGAGGTGAACAACAGTTTCTTGCCTGGCGACTCAAAGTACCTTGCACGGAAGTTGGTAGCATCACTTAAGACACCAGAATACCTTCTGAAATCATTGGAGATTAAAATGGCAACGAACCCCAAAGCTATTGAGGACAAATTGACGAGAATAGAATGTGACAACATTTTAGATTACTTCAGTCGTAATGTGGAAAGGCTGCAAGAACGCGACAAGCTTCCACTTATGAAACTGCCGTTTTATCAAACAACGCATGGAATACTCACAAGTATTTGGGGTAAATCAATTTGCGTCCTTCCACATGATATCCCACGCGAAGAAATGGAGGAGCTGGGGAGTCGATTAAACTTGGTTTTTTTAGAAAAGTGGACACGTCTGCTTCCACTGTACAAATTTCTTGAATTCAAATGTGTCTCCGCTGTTGACTTCTATTGTAAATTCATATTGCAGAACATGGCAATTTTTAGCAGCACGGCAAGACTTACTCATCTTAAGCACATTCGTGACGTCGTTTTGCCAGGACTATCTCAAGGAGACACAAACGAAGAGCAGAGGGTGCTCAAGCAGAGGCTGCTCGGCTGTTTGAGTGAAACAGCTTTTATTCCCTTTACAGATGGAAGTTTGAAGAGGGCGTCCTTTTATTACGAACCTGGACATGAAGTTTTCAGAGCACTGCTTCCTGAAAACATGCTTCCCCCAAAACCATTCAACACACCCGTTTGGCTGCAGTTTTTGAGGAAAATCGGGTTGACGTGTTATGTCTCTAAAGATCTTTTTCTGAAGTTTGCAATTGAAATTGAACGCGAAGGTGCAACACAGAAAAACGACGTAACTTACACAAAGTCCAAGGTACTAGTGAAACACCTGTTCTGTCGAGAGAATCTTGTGGAAGAAGGGTTTTTGCATTCTGTTTGTCACATCCGGTTTATAGCCACAGATCCAGTGGGTGCCGAATTACGAGCAATTCATCCTCAGTTCGGTGAAGGAAGGAATGGCCAGCTTCCCTACATTGCATTTAAGGGTTCTGTGTTACCAGAGCACGGTAAGGCAGCGTGGACAACGGCATCAATCCTTCCACGATGGGCAAATCCAAGAGAATATGTATACTTGATGAAATTCAAGGGTTGGAAAAATGAGCGTGCCTTCTGTAATGCTGTCATCTCCTATCTTCAGATTCTAAGTGAGCCGACCATAAATCAAGTTGTCTTTCACTGCCAAAATGTATGCTTTCAACTAGCAGAAGAGAACGATATGGAAACTAGTCTTGATCAGAAGGTGACCAGAACGTCAGTGATGAGGAGTATCTACAGTTTTTTGAAGAAAAACGCCCCTTCAAGTAATTTCGCGAAAGAACGACTAGATCTTACTCCCTGTATTTTGGTGCAAGAGGGTCAACGTTTTGTTTTTGCTAAACAAGTGGTTATCGAGTTGTATGAGAGCCTTGAAATTAAGCCATTTCTATACAGAATGCCAAACGAATTAAGTAGCTTTTCGAAACTCTTTGAATACCTGGGATGTTCTCCATCTGTCACACCTTCCAACTATGTCATTGTACTAGATATGTTGCACGAACGTTGTAAAGAAGAAAGCCTACATGTAAATGAGGTTAACTGTGCTTTGAGAGCGGTCAAAGGCCTCATGGAAACAATGCAAGACTCACCTGATGCAGCTCAGGTTATTTCGTCGTTGTACCTTCCCGCTACCTGTTCTTACAGCGCTTGTTTGGATGACAACAGCGTGAGACTAAAGGTCACACTGATGAAGGCCACCGAGCTGATCTTCGAGAATACTCCCCTCTATCGTGATCGTATCAAAAACTTCAACGCACCTTTTGTGGTCGACCTCGACAGAGCTAAAGTTAGCTGCAAAAATAATGCAAACTACGAAGATTTGATCATGCTTCTTCCCAGTAAAGTCCGGCCACACATGATGTCATGCGTAATTGAAGAAAAGTTCTTGAATTCCAGTGATAACGCCAAAGGTTTTGACATAGGTGCTGCCAGTTCATTAAGGAGACAGCTCCACTCAGAACAGTTCTATCGAGGAATTGTGAGACTTCTTCGCCACGTCAGCCGAGGTCGTAGTCTAGATCAAAATATGCTCATAACTGTTAAAAGCGGTTTGGAAAGAATTGAATTCCTTGGAATGAAAAGAATCGTTACTCATCTGGTTCATAACGGGGTGCCTATCAAAGAGAGTGAACGCGAAGTTTCATACTTTTTAGAAAAGGTGTTAGACTCCGGTCACCAGTTTTGGAAAGTATATGTTAACGCAGTCGATGACGTCGACGAAACCATGTCAAGGATATCTCTAACGTTGTCGGAGGTGATTGCAGAAGTGTGTAACGGGCTTCTGCGAGAAGCCACCATGTATATCCCAGTGATGCTGGGATCTCAACCTAGTAAGATTTGGTCTTTACTGGATAGCATGGGGATTCGACAAGACGATTCGAACGTCAAAGAAAGGGGAGATGTTTTTCCACAACCAGGAAGCTTCATACCAATAGCAGAACACAACCTTTTAAATCCAGCTTTCAAATTCTTCGAGCCTGGGGAATACGTTGGATACGAACTAGATGATCCAAGTCTTCATCTTGAAGAAGGGGATGCAGTTTTCATTTATGCTGTGATACTCAAAGACGTCTCTGATGAAAACGTCAGCTTTTGTGAGAAGTCCTACCAGATAGACATTGGACATGAAAAGGAACCGAAAGTTGCCCGCGCCACTAAGCTTTATAAATTTCACCGTCTTCAAGAGATAGCATCCTCTGCCACTGTCCTGTCTGATCAGCCAGGAAGCTCCCCCTTTTATAACCAGGAGATATTTGACGACATCTCAAGAATCCTTGAAGACGCATGGAAGCTATCAGAGGACATCAGAAGACAAATTATCAAGAGACTTATTTTGCAGTGGCATCCAGATAAGAATCCAGGAAACGAAGTCTTCTGCACGGAGATTTTCCAGCATATAAAAAATGAAATTGAACGACTAGAAAGAGAACAACTACGTAGATGCATGGAGTCTGGGAGCCCTCATGGATCTTACGGTGTGTATTTTCCCTTCTGGGGAGCTCGTGTAAGGCAATATAACTCACAGCGTCAAGAATACACAGAGAACTTCATTAGACACTATGGGTCTTGGAGCCACAGATCACGATCGTGGGAAGTTCCTCCTAGCTTCTGTACCACCAATCCCCAACCTGCACAGGCACGACGCTGGTTCAGACAAGCTGAGGCTGATCTGGCAGCTGCTGATAACGACATTTCCTCTGCTAAGCCGTCTTTCGTGTGGGCTTGCTTCAAATGTCATCAGGTAAGAGACCGAGTGCACAGTAATCATTTCGAATGTGTTGCTAGTAAAAAGAAATCTAAGGGAACTCATACAATAACGTTACTAGTAAAGAGCCATATAGCTTGCAATGGAAGATCTGATTTATTTTGCTTTTAGGATACAATAATTGTAGTTCATTTGCGCCTTCCTTAGAGAGTTTCGAAACAGGACTTGGCTTGCTAAATGCAGCGGTGCTTTTCAAATCCTTCGGGCGTCATGACGCTAATGTTCATTGTTTTTCAGGCTGCCGAGAAAGCGCTGAAAGCCGCCCAATATTCTTTAGATTCAAACAAGACCAATGTTCACAACTTAGTGCAAAATTCCTTATCACTGGATGACTCTCAACTGACAACATTATCGGGCCAGCTTGAAATGCGCGTGGGCGACTCGACGCGCATGCGTTACCCCGACCAGGTCAATTTTCCTGAGATTCCAAGCGACGTTTATTCGGAAGAAACGGCGAGAGATGCTGTGGATCTAGCCTCAAGGGTATTAGAGAACGTTAGAAGCAGAATAAGATAAGGTACGTGTGTCTGTGGGGAGTCATTTGGAACACAAATATTAACCACGAGCATTAAAACTCTCTCTTAAGTATTGGCAAGAACTTGTAAGTGAAACTCAATTTGATTGCCGTTTTAAAATGGTCAATCGTTAATGCTAAGCACCAATCTAATGTCTTGTTGCATCAAACACCGTTGTGAGACTCAAATTCCAATCGAAGATTATGAATTGCCTGTGTTCAGAGACAGAACGTTAGTACTAAATATCAATCGTAGTTTTCATTATCCATCGATGATGTTAAACCTTCATTGCTTGCGTTATGTAATACAGCAATCGTTTCTTGTGACATCAAACCACGTCAATCACCATTTTGCCACTAATCGTTTGAACAATACATAGAAATCGCTTGTGCAAAAAGGAAATCATCAGTGCCAGTACAAAGCATCGATTTTTACTGATTCTAATACTGGCGTCTAAAGATCCGCTGGGATTGGTCCATCTATAACCAAGTCCTATAGGCAGCAAATTTTTGTGCACTGTTTATCTTTGTTGTTGTGAGGGTAAAAAAAATGAAAAAAAAAACGCTTTTACAAATTTTGTTGAATCTGTAGTTTTGGTTTACTTGTTTTGTTACAATTATGGGCCGAGATTATCTCTCTGTGTGAGAATGTGACGATGACTGCAAATATCCCGAAATTTAAAGAAAGTTCGACTCTGTATCTCGCCTAACAACAACAGAGAGACACCTGGTACTGTGTGTGCCAGCCTGTACCACTCTAAAAACTTTTGTCTCGAAAGATAACAGAAATTACCATATTTCACCTTTCACAAGGTAAGAATTTGAATATTAAACGATTGTTTGGTGTTTCATGCACCGATGGCCTTTGACGTCGTGCAGGATTCGTGTTGACATTAGTTCGTGAGGATTGTTTTTAATTTCGGTGAGCAGTGGTGGAATATGTATGCCAAATACAAGTAGTCACTTCGACCTCAAAGGATAAGTGTCAATAAGATTTTTGCTTAACAGGTTTTTCTGCTAACTCGAACTGTGTCAATGATTATGACTGCACTCTTTTATTCTTTACGTAGGAGGCACTCTTCAAGACAGTTTGCTTGAGATAATTCGTTGTGCATCCCAAGATGTCTTTAAAGTCAAGTTTTCAGAATAATTTTCGGACTTGGTTAATGTGACAACCGTTCCTAGTATCTTTCATGACTTGCTCGGCCAGAAAACATTTATGCAAGATGGCGTGCATAAGTAAGTAGTAGAAAAATAAAGAAAGAAAAGACAAGATGAACAGTTGTCCTTGTTAGGACTCTTTTCAAGCTTAGTTGATATCAAAGCGAGCGAATTTATTCATAAATTTTATTATATTGCGTGACAAATAGCTAGTAGAAAATTCTGTAAGATTCATTCGCACATGAATAGCCAGAGAGAAATAATGCATTACTGAGCAGTGTTATGCACGACTAGAATAATGCAAGCAAATCTAAAAGAGTTAAGCTCGTGGTTTACCTTTGTTATTCTTCCAGGGTTCTCTTATAGATTAGTGGATTAATTTTACGCCATGATAACCTGCGCTCTCACAGCTAGGAAGAGTATTGAAGTATGAAAAAACGTTTGTCGTCATGTTTCTACACTATCCATGAAATTTTTTCGTTTCTTATGGTAACTTTGTGTTCTTATTGAAGAGTTAAAAGGTACCCCTGGATAGAACTAGGGAAAAGAATGTTACAAGTAACAACCAGTAAAGCTATCCTCGAAACCCTTCTAACAGTTTAAAGATAAGACGTGTTCATTAAAGATCTTTAGAGAGAATGATATCGAATAAAGTTGAGAATCAAGCTGTTTTTTTTACTCTTATCCCTAAAGTAGATTAGCCATCATTACCAGCGAAAATTGCCAAGCAGAATTGAGGTTAATTAAAAGCTTTCATTGTATTCTTTTTTGGTCGGTCTCTTACATTGTATCAAAATTAGGGGGCTTTTTCCCCTAAGGGGTTCTTCTTGGCGATGGGCTAATGCGAATGTGCTGCCAGACGAGGTCGCATTTTCACGACTGGATTTACTATAATGAAGTTGCATTCCTAGTAGATTTACCAGTATGGAGTCGCACATTTTTGGGATTGTGTGGGTAAGAAAATTCTGGTAGGGATTTAAAACTAATATGGGGTTTATAATTGGCCACAGAGGAAACTATAATGGGTTAGGGGTTCTAAAAAGCCAGCGGCAGCTACCCAGCAAAAATTTACCTATGACCCCCCTTAACTTTTACCCCACTACCCCACAGCCCCCCTAGCCCTTAGTCCTTATTGTCATCAATGTCTTACTGAGTAAGATACAGAGACAAAGCAAGGGGGCCATGCCACATCATTGCAATGTGGCAATTTTTTCTTTTATTGACTGGAACGATTTTAACAAAACTTCACAGTCCCATGATGAACAAACATTAATGACTAATGGCTCTGAAAAAAACTGGGTTAAATCTAAAACAGAAGTCTGACCCGAGCAGAAATCCATCTCAATTCCCGATAACTTTTTTACGATCCACATCTTACTTTTTATTACTGCTCTATTTGTTTTTGGGCCGTTATCGGGTCAATAAGTCCGAACTAAGATTCTGCACCTCTCACTTAACACCCTTCATGCGCTTCATAGAGTCTCGGCTGAGTTGACTCGCAGGGTTCCTTCCATCTCATCCTTGTTTTCTTCAAGGACACACGATGAAACTAAAACAGAGAAAACTGTATGGATACCTACTTCTAAACAGGAATGGGATGAAAAATCCACCTTTCTATAAGGAATTTTTATAGAAAGATTTTATTCTCATCTGTGGGCCGGTCCCACTGTTGCTGCTTAGCAAACAGCATCATTAACGTTGAACTAATATGCATTGCATAGTGATTGAAATGAGACACTATCAAATTTAAGTCATAGTTTTGTTACTTCGCCTTTTGTTCCTGACCCCTCCCCACTTTGTCTGTTATCTTATGTCGCCATTCAAATTCGCCCAACCCTTACTCAGGTTTGAAATCCAAAATGGCGGCAAAAATGAGATTATCGTCAGAATTTACTAAAAAAAACACGTCATCTGAGATACAATGCTTCGACGAAATAGCTGGATTTTTCAAGTGGGTATTCTTGCGTAGTTTTATTTGATAAACGAATTAGCTCAGTCTGCAAGCTCCGCACAGTCTGCACGGCTCGCACGGTCTGCAGTTTTATCATGACCGTGCAATGATGGTCATTGCTACCTTGAGGTTTTTGTCAAATATATCAAATTGATAAAACCAAATAATATTGATTATTTTTTTGCATAAAAAGCATACGGATGTTTATTTATACGGCAAAAGCAACAGAAGATACAACATCCTAAGGCGACCAGTACCACAAACCCCGCCACTGGAATGGCAATGATCAGGATTTTTTCGATCCTCGATATTGTTTTATACAATGTCTTGTGAACTCTGGGAAGGGTATGACGTCATTACATTGTTTTGTGTTTGACATTATTCACAAATTTTGATTGGAACTGCTTTGTTTGGCTTTTTCTTTCTTTTTATAAGTTCCCTAGAAAATTATTTAGTGGCTCTGCGATAGGACTTTATCAGGTAAATATCCATTCAAAATCATGAGTTCGTCATATTTTTCCTAAAAAAGTCAAAATATTCAGACAACTTGATGATCACCAAAGAGAATAAGTATGAGGCATGAGTTGAATTAGTATAGGTAATCACATGATTTCGAGTGCAATTTGGAATAAATAAGCACGAGTGAATTTGTAAAGGCTAACATAATTGCACGAGCCCGTTGTGATCTTTCAAAAAAATTAACAAGTGCTTATTTATTCCAGATTGCACGAGAAAAATTATGTGATTACGTGTTAGTAATATACATGTAAAAATACAAGATGGCTTATCATAATTAAGCATAAGCAAAGCGCGCGCATCAAGTGCAAAAATAATTTATTCAAACCGTTCGTTCGGTCAAAACAACTGCGTACGATCAAAACAATAATATGCAATGATATCTCCCCATCTTGAAGGCGCAAAAAAGTTCAAAGCCCGACTAAACAGTTCAAGGAATTGTTCAGTCTGTGTCCGAATCAATTTCGACGAAATGGAATCGTCTTTTCCGAGGTTTAACCATGCTTGTTTTTAATTTCGGCGTTGGATCGTTATAGCAAAGTGTTAAGCTGGGTAATCGTAATTTTCGATTTCCTTGGCAATTTCCTTCTCTAAACACCACTTTTTCCAAACCGACTACTAAAAAGCAGTGCTTTTTACAGTGTTTTCGTTGTTTGAGCTGTTTTTCAGCTGCGGTGGCGAAGCAAACCTTCTTAACACGCCGGCCATTATTTCACTTGCAAATTTTCACATTTTCAAATTTTGCTGCGATATCCAAGGCTCACATTTGATTGACTATCTGTGAGTTTCTTTGATTATTGACCTATCAGAATGTCTGATTTGTTACTTTCTTTGCACCGAATAAACTCTCTTCTGCATTTAATTACCTGAAACTGCATTTATCTTAACCAATCACAACTGAGTAATTTTTCCATGTATATTATTATCATCAAGTACTTCAGACGAAAGTAGATCATAAAGAGAGAAATGTTATGAACATCCTGAGATCGGATTAATTATCTGGGGTAGTACCTTTAGGTGTAATCAGTGTTATCCGAACTCAAAATAGTAGACCTTTCAGTTAAGGTAAGAAACTTTAGTTTTAAAAAACCTTTCAAGTTTTAGATCACGCCAACCGTGGGAAATGATTTTTTTTTTCGATCTAAACAAAGAAAGTCGAGAATGAACCGGAAAAAAAAACAGATGCTCCACATGATTTGCGATCCATCCTTTCATCGCAAAGTTGACAAGGTTAGCAGAAATTAGCTTTGAAAGGAAAATTTCCGTAAAAGTTGAACAGTACTGTTAATTGTGGTTGAAATGAATGAATTAGTACTCTCTTAAAGGTTTTCTGATGTACTCATCGACTTCCGGCCGCTGATTACAATTCATCGGCTTTGAATATTTAAAAGAAGTCTCTTAGGTCATAACAAGAGATTACAAACAGTTCACTTTCTCTTGGTCACTATCGGTGCATTTCGGAAACAGCGTCGCCTCAATTTTTCATGTTCTAGTTATTTGGAATCCGTCGGTGTACATATCTCCTACTCTTGTTATCCTTTTTCACTTTCGTTTAACTCTCCATCGCAGAATGATAGAAATCACAGTAAAGTGAAAGGCGTCATGTCTATGTCTAACGAGATCAGACGAGCCGCTACCCGCAGAGCGAACCATCCCGAAAGAAATGTGGTTGCTTTTATTAATATTGACTCGCGTACAAACTGTCTCCAAAATATTGGCGCACCCAGAAAATATATCTACAGATGGAAAAATTAAAGAAAAATGAAAAAACTTCCTTCAACAAAACTCGACATTTTCCATCTTGAAAGTTATTGATATGTGCTCCAGTTGAGTGACGCGTCCGCCATTAGAGACCAAAAGATATATAATTATTTAATAGCGCTAAAAATTGAAAATTCGTCCTGAAAATCAAATCTAACCCCTTCAAAAAACAAAACACACAAAACCATCAAACAAAGATTATAGCATCTCTAGAAATTTCCTCGAGGTATCATTTGTGCATTTTTCTTTTGTTTCAGAGGGCTAGCTTATATTCAGCAAAGGTAAGCAAGGACGTATTTCCGAGAAAACAAGACTAACCACGTGACATATCATTTTTGACCAACTTCCGGAATTTCTAGGAAACACATTTTTCTGTTCTTAGAAATCGTACCTGACACAATTTTCTTTCATTTCGCCTAAGAGTTTGTTGGCGAGAGACGTAATTCATGGAAAAGACGATGAGGTTTGTAAAAACTAGCCCAACAGTTTACTAAATTATCTGAATTTATACATAATAAGTAAAATGCCGGCTAAATCGCGAAGGTGTGAAGTCAGTTAACATAATGGAAGTCCTTTGTTTGAGTCATCTGTTTGCGAAATAAACATCAATTACTATGCTGCAACTCGTAATTTTAGTTATCGCTAGTAGAAGCATCAACACCATCCAAATGCTTTCAATATTGAATCTCGATGCAGTTATGTAGCAGCAGTATTCGCAAGGAATTTGACCAAGAAATGGGCAAAATACGTGAAGTATGTTGCAATTTTTAACTTAAGGAAATATTTGAAATATTCTTCTCTACCAGCAGTTGAAGTTCGCATAAAAAGCTTATTCACCGGCATTTGTCATATTGATCAGTTTAAAGTATTCGCAAGGAATTTGACCAAGAAATGGGCAAAATACGTGAAGTATGTTGCAATTTTTAACTTAAGGAAATATTTGAAATATTCTTCTCTACCAGCAGTTGAAGTTCGCTTAAAAAGCTTATTCACCGGCATTTGTCATATTGATCAGTTTAAAGTATACAGCAATGAAGTTTAGCCGAAATTAACTGTCATAAATTTCTACTATTAATGATTGAAACACTTTTTAGAGAAGCCATTCTTACAAAGCTTAGGATTCCATCAGATCATTAACAATGGGTGAGTACCAAGTTTAATTTTATGTTTTTTACTTGTTTATCTGTGTTAAAACGCTAGGAAATTTTACCTACTATTAGATATAAACACTTCAAAACTGATATAACCTCCGTGAGAAGTTGGCTCCATGAATAATATATAGATTTAGCCAAGCCTATAAGCGGAGCTCTTGTTAATGTATTTTCCAGCCCTTCATTATACTGACCAAATACTGCAATAAAACTCTTCAGCACTCGCTGTTAAAGAGTTTTTTCAAGTGGATTAAAAGACTAGACGAGGTCTGAAACCTGGGGACGATGTTCTCACAACTTTCAAAGCGATCAACAAGCTTGCTAGGCAGTGGTATCTTAAAAAAATTTAGGACTTTCGTTGTTGTTCGTGATGTTCTGAGCAAATTTTCGAAGATAGGGAATGTTCTCTTCTTACGATGAAGCGTATGATGTCAGTATCAGAGCCAAAATTAAGGGAAACCATGGAAAACTACTTCGCTTTAAGACACCACTGACCGGTTGAAGTGTATACACGCGAGCACAGCGAGTCAGAAAAACTATACGCCAGAATCGTATGGGCTTCTTTTATATCTTCTCTTGAAGGTGCAGGGGATGACCGCTTGCCCCACCGTTTTTCCCTAACGTTTCAACCTCCTCTGTTTAGCGTAGAAAATTAAAAAGAAAAGTAATTTTCAACTCGTGCTTGAACCTGTAATTTCGCTTTTGGCTATTCTTGTTTCATGATTATCCCCTGGTTGGAAATATACGAAGTCGTTTTCTGATTTTTCTGTTATTTAATTTGGTAACCTCTGCTGTAACTGCATATAATGTGGATGTTCTCAAGAAAACTTGAGATAATACCTGGATTTCATTTCCACATCACAGAAATCAATTCCAAACATCAATCAAGTTTTCTCTTTAGTTTAAAGCTGAGTTGATGTTGTTATCGGCTGTATTAAATAGGTTGAAAAGTTTTAGATGGTATTTTCTCATGTTTGCCATTAATTGAATTTACTGGAAGTTGGAGTTGTTGCAACATGTGAACATGAAACGTAACAATAAATTTCTTGATATGTAAAAAGTTTTCATTTGACTATCTACCGGCAGTCTTCATATTATATTTCAACCCAACCATTTTCCACAACTTGTAAACACCATTACAAAATAATTAGTCAGGGGAATGGAAAATTTGTGGCATATACACCATGTCTGAAATTCCATGTCCATGTCATTCTTATTTTGATGAACTAGTTTTGAGAAGGATGCAATATTTTACTACATAAATTTGATGCATGCGCTATGCACAAAACTTTAATTTGACTTTAGTTTTATAGCCAATACCAAACCTTACACATAATAAAATGTTAGGAGGATCAGAGGAAAAAATGTGCCATACATCTGTAAGATCTCATGTAATTATTTTAATTACATGAATATTAACTGATACTAGGAGATCTAAGAATATTTAATAGAAAAGAAAATTGGTTGAAAAATTAGAATTCAGCACAGGCTAGATGAACATGATTCTTAGAAAAAGAAATGTATACTATTGAAAAAGCTTGGCAAACTTTTTTCAACACTTGCCTGTACATGTGCAGCATGTAGTAAAGTCATTTGAAGTATCATAACCCCTGTTTTATGCGTTGAAAACACATGCAGATTTTCTCTAAACCTGTAGTTCTAGCCTCAATGACTTCTAAATTTTGATGCACACCTCAAAAGGAGAACAAATAAATTTCAAGTTTCTACGTATTCAATTTAAATCATGTTGGTTAGTGAGGTAAAATTGAGTCAAACATTCATATGATGACAGGTTCAAGAAATTTTCACAACTAATTTTCAAGGTTAGCCGAACAATCACCATCATGTACAAATTAGACCACGTATGTACAGATTATTCCCAAAAGAATTATCTGTGGTAAGAGGGTAGGCTTTCCTTTCTTCATTTAGAGAAATAATGAACTTCTTATCTTTCCACAAGCTCAGTGGAAAGTGAGAGTGAATGAAACTGATAGTGATTATGTTACTAGGATAAATATCCAAAGAAGAATAAAAATTAAGATATGGTCTATGCAACTCTCTTATTTTAATTTTTTAACCTTTAAAGCTAAGGCATTCATATTCTTGCTTTGTACATTATGTGGACACCAATTAATCTAACTTTCATGGATCAAAATACAAAAATGCTCTCTTCATCTATGTGCCCTAAACATTACATGGGAGGAGGCAGGTTTAAGTAAAAACACAAATCAAAATAGGAGGGTCCCAATTAATTTCAGTCCTAATTAAAGGAGGATGCTTGCTTTTCTAGATTCCCACCATTTAAAACTCACATATCTTGTGACCAATTCCTTATATCGATATTTAGTTTGGCTATGAGCATTGGTAAGAAACACCATGCATTAATGAAAGCTTGAGCAAGAGTATTTAATGCAATGTAAGTAATAATATTGCATGTTACAATGTGGTAACTTACACAGCAAAGTTATATAATCACACAATTCCAAACAAAGGAAGACAGGTTATTGACTCACCTACTTCAACTTTTGAGGGCTTAAGTTACAGAAAAATAGATATGGTAAACAGTTACAATTAATACAAAGTTGAAAGTTTGAAGGCTAAAAGATATAGTACATTACAATCATCAGACCCTATGCATTCTAACAAAAAAGGGTCAACTACCACCATAATTTCTCTCAAACATCCATGCTTACAGGAAATTATTAATTTTTGTTACTAGGTTGTACTGTACTTACAATACTTCTACCAACACAAATGCATTTTTCTAAAGTTGTCTCAGAGCGTAGGACTTTACAGGTCATGTGGAATATTCCTGCACGGGGAATGACAAATTTCAATTACCCCCAGCAAACTTTAATCATCAGAATTGCAAGCCAAGGTGTATTTACCAAGTGCTCAAGTTTCCAATTTAGTCACCTAATTGTTACAGCTAAGTTTAATCCTTCTTGAGGCTATCTTCAGCTTGATCATCCTGTTAGATGTGAAAACATCAAATGTTACTCACATTCAGATAATTACCAGAATTAAGTTATAATATTTTTAATAACCCACATCCTTAAACCCTTTAACTCTTATGTGTGACCAAGACAGAATTTCTCCTCACAATATCAATACAATATCACACAGACAAGCAATGAGAATAAAGAAAAATATTAATTAGGGTATTATTAGTTGTTATAAAATGCATACAGTTAACACTTTAATCCCTGAGAGTGACTGGCATCTAATTTCTCCATTCAATATCAGCCCTGAATCAAGCATTAAGGTCATGAGAATAAAGGAAATGATCACCAACTAAAGAACCTCTTGATTGTTAAACAAATTCTCCTTGCCAGCTCATTAGGAAATTTATAGAGAACAGTATGGAGAATATGCATACTGATGTTAGGGTATATATGTAGAGAATTGCTTGAATATATGATTGTGGTAAGTGCAAGTGCCTAGTAAACATCATTTTATGGTCTTCTACTCTTTCACCTTGGAGGATGCCTTGTGCACATAAAAATTGAAGTTCAGTGCCTTTAGTAGCTTTTTTGGCTACAACGATCAAAACAGAACAACAACCACACCAGAAAATCTTTTTAAAGACACCCCTACAATAATAGGTACACATAACTGACATGTTTGAGTGAAGCATGTTAAGCATTAAGGTATGATTGTCAATTTGCTTTTCATTACTTGCAAACAGCTTATCTCTATCAGCTTTGAAAACTTCTGTATCCTTGCTTTTGAAGAAAAGCATTTCCCATGAACATTTAACAGATCTACAGATCTACAGATTTTTCCATTGTTTCATAACATCAGATTCTCATCACATTTCTTTGTTATATTTGAAAGAATCTGAAAATTTTGATCATTACAATATAATGAAATTCCCCATTTTAAACCTTTTAGTCCAACTAATGACCTAGACAGAATTTCTCTTTACACTATCAGTATGATATCAAGTAGACACTAGTAATGAGAATAAAGAAACACATCAATTAGGGAATTATTGATTGATCCCATTCCAAATTCTTCAACCAAATATCACATTGAAGTGTATGGCTGACAGCAAGGAGAATTATGGATGAAATCTTGAGAGCGAAAGGGTTAAGACACATATGGTAATCATATGTACTAGACAGCAAATAAATGTAAGTTCAAACTCCAGTAAAGTGTTCTTATGTATAAGGAATTTCCGAAGTCATTTAAATTAAGTTGACTTAGTAATTCTGATTTTAGTTAAAAGGATGAAAAGAGAATGCCAATTATGAATTTTAAAGATTGAATTTAAAAAAACTACTAAAATATGGCATGTCTATTCACTGAGGTTTTGATCAATAGCTGGCACACAGAGATATAAAAGAGGCTTTGTGAAAAAAAAAAAACAAGGCAATAAAATTAAAGATTTAGGAGAAGCATATGGACATCAACTAGTTTACTGATGTTCTCATCTGAATTCAATCTGCCAGGAAGAGAACTTTGCAACCCTTCTGTTTTATCTTCTCTCACTTGAATTAAAACATAAAGTTTAATTATTTGCAGGCAGGTTAAGGAGGAAATTAAAGGAATGGATATATGTTACATAAAAGGAAACCCCTCACAATAAAAATAAAGCAGAAGCATATTACCTACATGTCTATGCTTCTGAATATAATAGGTATTTTTTAAGCAATTATCTACATATGTAAACCGAGTGCAATATACGGTCGTAAAAGCAATTTTATTCTAACCTTCCTCCTTGAAGGGTGCCTTGCGTATCAAATATATCAAGTTCAGTACCACCAGAGTCATAAGCCGGGCTTTTGGGGCTACAAAATAATAAAATAATCAACGAGTTATTCCAAGCCAATTTATCGAGAGTCAATTAAGTATAGTTTCCTTGAATCGTATGGGAAGTTTAAAATGTGCTTCACTTGTGCTACATATACAGATTTATCATTCTTAACTACTGGTGAGATTCCGAGAGTGTGACCCAATTAATTCAAAAGAAAATATCCAAGCAGGTTACAGAAATGATTTACGAATTGTAAACTGACACAGTGCCATGCAATATTGTATTCCAAATGAACTTCCTGTTGCATAGAGAACAGCTTAATATACTACTTGTATTGTTATGCTACCACACTTCAGTAGGAAAAGCAAGTAAAGTTTGTGAAATGTTTATGACGGCGATGCCTGCGTGTCCCGGGGTGCTTGTTGCAAATTCAATACTCTACAGCACTTAAGAGGCACTTAAAAAATTGGCCTGGCACGTACTGTTTGCGTTTTCTTACCTGGCTATGTTGTCCGATATAACGCCATTCATTACATTTTTACACCGGCACTCCACTAGACGTTACCAGCTGGCAGCCTGTATGGATAGTGAAGCCGCCATTGTGGATATCCTCAGCGACCACGCAATATTGGCCCCTCCTCTCCCCTCCCCCTTAACCTACCGTTATGGTTGAGTGCTTGGGTGGGGAAGACAGAGTTAGGATGTTTCAAGGCTGAGTGCTATAATATTTGCATTGTTTCGTTCCCTCAGACGTTGAAAATCGTGTCAGTGACTTTTTAGTATACCCTTTTTAGAGGCATAGAATTTTACGTCAGCGTACTTGTTCGACTCTTACTGATTTTATTTTTATGTTTTTAAAAATCTGACCACCGGTAGGCCATATGCATATGGTAGGCCATAGGGTAGGCCACAGGGTAGACCATGGCCTACCCCACGTTTTGTCCATACCAGTTAGTGTCTCTGTCCCCCGCCCCCTAGGTATTCGCTCATCCCGCAGGAGGACTAACTCCATTTAACCCGTGAGTTTGTCGGATGTTTGACAGGTTCCACACAATTTGTCAAAATCACATTACTGCGGACTTAATGTAAACCGTAATTTATTATAGTTTTGTTCTGGTTCATTTTTATCTAGAAGTCTTTCGTGAGTTAATGATTATTACAGTAAGTTTATTATCTCCAATCAAATTCCCACTTAAGTGCACGTGTAAAGATTTTATTTCAATCGTCGCTACTTGTCATCGCTGCTAAACCATCACTGCTAATCGTCGCTGCTAGATAATTGTTACAAGCTATTTGCTACCGTTCGCTACAAGCTATTTCCTACCTTTAGGAGCTAGACCAAAGTGAGTTTTTATTTCTTTTACATTTATGTTGTTTACCTTTTGTATGTTTAATTGGTATAGCTCACGTATTCAGTTTTCCGTGCGATCAATTAAATTTAAGTTAGGTTAATGTTACGTTTCGCAACGCATTTTTCTTAGATTAGTTTCTGTTGCATTTTCTTTTAGTTCGAACCACACACACGCACGCACGCACGCACACACACACGCACGCAACCCCTACCGCTATTCTCATCAAGCAAATTTCGTCTTAACGCTATCATCTGAAATCAATAAAGATCACTGTGTGCGTTCGAATTGTCCGCTCATTCTCTTTGGTAACCTTTCGAGGTTACACATGGACATCGCTGACTCAATCTCAATTATTTCAATTTTGGGAAAGGCTACTACATCGTTCTTAGGGTAAAACAACACTTCGACAAAGTGCGATTTCTTCAAATAAATTGAGTAAAATCTTGCGATAGTTAACTGAAGAGAGAAAGAGGTAGAAACTTGTGCTAGCCGTTCGCTATCATTGAAAACTTTCCAGGCATAACAGATTCCGTAAGATAACTTCTCTTTCCTCAATACCACGACTGTATTAAACATTCCAAACGACAGGACAAGAAATACCTTGAAGAATACGAACACTTTGAAATGCCATTCGAGCGATGAGCCGGCACGAGGGTTTTCGGGCGATGAATGTTTACCGAAACGTGATTTTAATTATGACCTAAAGCTAGTATCAAACGACGATTGGTAAGAAAGGTTTGCATTTTTCTGGACCTTAGCGTAAGGGGAAACCCAGATAAGGCACGACTTACCTCCTCTTCTTTCTCGGATCCTTTGTGGTTCGCTTCTCTTTGTTGATAACCTCTTTTCAGTCTTTTTTCAGGAGCTTCTTTGTATTTCCTTCTCGCGTTGCTCTTCGTTAGATATTCACCTTTAGACTTAAGTCTTTTCTTGTTCTCTTTCGCGTTCCTCTCGCCGTATTCTGCCTATTTTGGTGTCCCCTCTAACTTTCTTCCTCTCTCTCCACGAACTTGAATTATAACAATTTCCTCCCGTTGACAAAGCTTTAGCTCTGCCAGTATTGTTGCTTTGCGAGTTTATTAGAAATTACGAAATACTGAGAATTACAGTTTAATTTCCTGCTCAAAACGCGGGTTGCGAATTATTTGCTCGCGCGGCTTCACATCTACTAGCCCCACGTGAAACTCTTGTGCAATGCTTAACCTTGTGCCCGCGATACGCTGCCCTGATACTCATCACACAAGTGTGCGCACTTCATTGTTATCTATTGGTGTCTCCTGGCGCACACTAATGGGGTATCCAAGTTACGCACGCACAATCGCGCATGCGCATTACCTTCTCCCTCGCCCTTTCCTTACTTAATGGCTAAAATAATACCCGTGGTACAGTTGGCCGCGCATGCTAAAAGTAGCACCTTGTATGGTCGGTCGTACGGTTACAAGTCCAAATGTTTTCGGCTTCATGGGTTACTAGCTCCCCTGCGAGCTCCGCTATCACTTCTCCAACTACAAAGAAGCTAGTAAGAATTGTAAGGACCCCACTATACGCTAACCAGGTGTTAAAAACGTCAGGTGAATTCAGATAGAGAATATGTAGAGCTACCCAAGCATAAGAGGAGACAATTCAAACACTGGTAGGTAGTGTAAATGGACAAGCAACACTGACAGGTTGTGTTAAGCATCAGGCAAACCATGTAACAGAACTTATGCTCCGAGGGAAAGCTATGCTTAAATTAGATATGCAGGGCATACAGGGACACAAGCAAATAGAAAGCACCCAAGCAGAACGTTAGTACATAAAACAGTTGGTAATGTTACTTAATATAGAGTATAGCCACAGTCATTTACAGAGGAGAGAGACTGTTTGACAGCAGACAGTTCGACTGTGAGTAACGAATATGAACCTGCAGCTCAATAGGGTTTAATACAAATCATTGCATGTATGCATGCATACACGTAATACATAACCACAGTGTTCTGTTCTGGCAAGAGATACTGCAACAAAGCAGCTTCGGGGTTAAGAATTAACACTGAGTGGTCTAGGTACAGAGTAATACATCGGTAACTAAATGCGAGAAATAATGGTGATGCTACGTAGGAGATGCTAGTAGTTAGATACTTAAACCCTAGGTGTTAGACATCTATAATTTTTTTCCTAAAGTATTAAATTGTTGAAAATCATGGGGGAATTTTCTTTATAGTCGCCGATGATACCTTTTTTCTTATTAGCAAACAATGACGACGATGGATTTGATTTGATTAAGCCATCTTTGATCCAGCAATTAAGAACCATCCTAGATCAGTATCCAGATGATGGACAGATATTGAAGGTATGAAGAAAAGAGGGCCACCAAAACCAGTCCTCTGAAAAGTAGGGGGGGTGGGTTAGTGTTACTTTTAGACATCCATCCTCACGATTAGTGTTGTGTTAGGGTTAAGCATTCATGCAAGTGTCACCAGGTCTTTTCATTTAGGTGTGCTTGCTGCAAATATTTTTTTCTGGTGTATTTTACATCTTGAAATGTGTTTTATTGTATCAGGAGCTCATCCAAAATGCAGAGGATGCACACGCATGTCATGTAAAATTCCTTCATGACAAACACAGCCATGGCACAGCCAAACTTCATCACCAGGATCTTGCTCAATTTCAGGTAAATTGTTTTTCTGATATGCACTCCTTTAATTTCTTCTCACCGTTACGGTAAAAAATAACTTGTTAAATGCAGTTCAATGCAATATAACGGAGTTAAAAACAAAAAATGTCAGCGTTCTCTAATAGTCAGCGGTTTTTGCATATGCGCATGCGTTAGGATTCCATGTGCTCTTTGCCTAATGCGTTCTTGCCTGTACTTTGAGCGTGTACTTGCAGCGTTGTGAGGAGTGACAGCTCTTCGTCCAGGCCGTTGTCGTCTTCCCCGTTGGTTTTTTCATCTCGAAAGGCTCAAGCGCTGTTATCTCTCTTTTGTTTTTTTCTGGCGGTCAACTGCTTTCGTTCGTATAGATCAGCTTTCGGGGCGTCCAACAAATAACAGTGCTGTCGCCATGCTGGATTTATCGGAATTAATTTCTTCGGCCCCTTTCTCTGCGGATTCTTCTCCTCCCTTAACAGAAGCCTTGGTTGTCTCAGCCCCTGCTGCCACCCCTCCTTCTTTTGTGCTCTCCGCCCAGGATCTCACTCAAGCTTTTTCTAGAGCGTTAGGTGAGTCGTTACCCCACATTTTGGCGACGATGCAAAGCCACTCGAAGAATACATGTTCTTCGGTGTCGCGTTTCACTTCGGCGGGAAACATGCTCTCGAACACAAATTTTTCGGGCTTCTCTGCCATCAACTCTCCCCCACCCTCTGCAGGATTATCGTCAGGTAATTTTGATGTGCCTTCATTCATTTCCACATATTGCACGTTAGGCAATTCGCCTTTAAGCTCGCCATCTTTGTTTGGCCCTCGGGATGTCGCGAACGTAGCGTTTCCCGCCATCGGCCACTCTTCTGCACCGGCGTTCTCTATCGGTTCTGTTCACGCATCTACCATTTAGCCGGGGATCCTGTCTTCTCTGAACAGGCCTTTTGTGGTTGGCGTAGGTTATTCTCCCTTTCCAGAGAAGCTGGTCACTAAGATCAGGTAGGACTATTTGTTGATATCGCCGACCGTCTAGGCGGCAACGTGAAGGCACTAAAAGCGGAGCCACAAACATATCATGACAGCAAACTTTGGTGGGTTCATCAAAGAAACGAAAACAAGAGATCACCGACATTATCACATGGGCGGAGGCATTCACAGTCTACATGTGGATTTTCTGCTGCGCACATGCTTCTAGATGGCAGGAAATGACGCAGCACAAACTCCCGATTCTGAAGACCTCACGCCAGTTTCCCGGCAAGGCCTTGGCTTCACTACAACACTGCCTTTCGGAAGTACGCAGCTGCATCAGGCCTGGCAGACTGGTCTCGTATGAACCTCGACCTTTACAATTTCCATACTCGTTTGGCGCCACAGTCCCAGTCATCAGCCGTATCTTCTCCATTCCTTAACTCAGGCGGCTTGTAATCCAACTTTTGCAGATCATGGAATGACGGCATCTGTCGCTGGCTCTTTGGTCAATGTCGGTACCGCCACTGCTGTGATAGATGTGAACGGAACTACCCTCACGTCAACTGCCCCTTTCGTCCTTCCAAATCGTATGAACAGCGCTCCCGAGCAACTACTCCATCTCGGTACAAATGCTAGCGGCGTTGAGGCGGTCTCTAGATCGCCCAAGGCCCCGTACCTTAAGAATGATGTAAATAGTGTACAGTTACTTCGTTTAGTTTTAGTTTTACGCAGTTCCTATTCGGTTCTAGTTAATGTTGTTGTTTCTTTGGCATCGGATATATTTTATTGCGGCCAATTTCGTGTAAATGAGCCTCCTATCTCCTCCACCACAGGGAATTCCATTACTGGTGCTGTTCAGCAAGATTTGGTCCCTCCTTTTAGAGTTACCCCCCCCCCCTTTATTGCAGATAAACTGTCGCGGAAACTTTGTTTTCACCCTGATCAAAGAAAAGTGGATTTTGTGATTTCTGGTATTACTATTGGTTTTCTTCTTAGCTTTGATCCTTCAGCGGTATTATTGTGGTTTGCGACCCAGAATATGCCATCAGCGTCTTTTTACCCATCTGTGATTGATCAGTGTATCCTCACAGAACTTGAGAAAGGTCGCGTAGCTGGCCCCTGCTCTATATCTCGAATTCCAAGCCTTCAGTCGCTTTGGGGTGGTCCCAAAGAAATATCAACCTGGAAAGTGGCGGGTTATCTTAGATTTATCTAGCCCATTGGGCCGTGGCGTCAACGACGGCATTCTTAGAGAGCCTTTCTTTTTACAATACATAAAGTAGACGATGTCATCAAGGATCATGTCTTATGGCCAAGGAACACTGATGGCGATGAAGTTTGATGTGGAAAGTGCGTACCGCGATGTCCATTCCGATGATCGTTATTTGCTCGGCATGAAGTGGCGAGGCAATTATTTCATCGATTTGGCTCTTCCCTTCGGATTACGCTCTGCCCCGTTCATCTTCTATTCTATCGCGGACCTGTTAGAGTGGATTCTCAAACACAATTATGGCATGAAGTTTCTCTTACACTACCACCACACATTGGGTCCCCCCAACTCATCTGTCTGGCCAGAACAACCTGGATTTGTGCATTCGGCTTTTTGAGGACTAGGGTATCCCCCTTCATCCAGATAAACTAGAGGGACCATCCACTTGCCTAACAGTGCTCGGTTTTGAGCTGGATTCACTTCACTTTAGGCTTGTCTTCCACGGGACAATTTTGAGCGCTTCATTGACTTGTTGGATACTTGGTCTTCCAAACAGTACTGTATGAGAAAACAGCTGGAATCTCCCATCGGCAATCTCCAACACACTTGTACGATCATTCTTCCGGGGCGTACCTTTTTACGGCGTATGATCAACTTATTATCAGCGTTCCAGCGGGATGACCACCCCATAGGGCTTAATCAGGAACTCCGTTTAGACCTTTCTCGGTGGCGTGAATTCTTCCATTCATGGTATGGCCTCAGTTTTCTGCTCTTCCCCAAGTGGGCACCACTACCTTATTTTTCTTTTTCCTCAGATGCAGCCCGAGCCCTGGGTTACTGCGCACTCTTTTACCCTGAGTGGTTTGTGGGGAAATTGTCTGCCTCTCAGCTGCCGTTACAGGCAGCAGGCATTCCCGGAAAGTTCACTAGTCAAAGCTTTAGAATTGGAGCTGCAACTACAGCTGCCCAGCGGGGCATTCTCGATCATCTCGTTAAGACCACGGGACGCTGGTCAAGTGAAACGTAATTATTGTATGTGCGCACATCCTTGAATAGCATCCTCTCAGTAGCGGAACGAATTTCATAGCAGGTATGATGCCCATAATCTCTCACTTCCACCACGCAGCAGGTGCCGTCGGATTGAGCAGTTTTTCTTGGGGCCATGACCTGCCGTTGCCATGAGCCCCATTTCTCCGAGCTGATTGCGCTCAGTTTGGAGGTCCTCCGGCTTGGCGTGGGGGCTCATGGCTGGGTTGCCAGAATTTGCCAGCCATTAGAGAAGTCTCCATCTAGGAGCCTACTGCCAATAGTGGAAGCTCTTGGATGTTTCAGGCACCCAACCTGCAATTATCGATACAGTTGATAAATGCAGTTAAATGCAATTTAACGGAGTTAACATTAAAGAAAGTCAGTGTTCTCTAGTAGTCAGCGGTTTTTTGCATATCACATGCGTTGGAATTCCATGTGCTCTTCGTTTGAGGCGTTCTTGCGTGTACTTTGAGCGTGTACTTTGAGCGTGTACTTGCAGCGTTGTGAGGAGTGGCAGCTCTTCGTCCTCGCAGCTTTCCCCAGCCATTCCCTTCCTATTCCCACTGTTTATTCAGTTTGACGGGTGCCTGTTTCCAATTCCCGTGTTGGGGCTAATGGATGGGTTGCCAGAATTTTCCAGCCATGAGAGAAATCTCCATCAAGGAGCTGGCTGCCAAAAGTGGAAGCTCCTTGATGTTTCAGGCACCCAACCTCCAATTAGCGATGCAGTTGTTAACTTGAATCAATCGACTTCATATTTACTTATTTCAGCATTAAGCCACGATTTATTTGTTGTTAAAAGCTCCATATGGATTAGACCCATATGGATTAGCGTGGTAAATACAAACTGGTCTTTTTATTTTGAATAACGCACCCACTCATTAATTGTTCGTTTTATAAGGGGAATCTGATCGTTTTTATGTAACAGGGCCCAGCACTTTATGCATACAATGACGCTCAGTTTACAAAAGATGACTGGAAGGGCATACGGATGTTGTGTGATAGTATTAAAGTCAAAGACCCAATGAAAGTTGGCCGTTTTGGTCTTGGCTTCAAGTCTGTTTTTCATATGACAGGTGAGTCTCTTGAATTGCTATGTCCTCAGACCCTAACGTGAATGTTTCCCAGGCGTTTTTCCATTATAATGACCGTTCGGAAAAAAGGGTTTACCGGAGCTTTTTCTATTTGGTTGATTGGCGACTTTGTATGTTTTCCAGGAACAAACTTTTCCGGTTAGAGATCACTGAAATTATTACTTATTTCTCATTTTCTGTCACAGCAGTATAATAAAACAAGGAATAATTCTTGAAATTTTGTAATCCTCTTTCTTTTAGAGTTACATGTAGGGAAACTACGCGGAAGAATAGTCGTAGATATCCATAGATGAATACTCTGAACGAATCATTTAAACTGGTTTTAATTTAGATTATTTTCTTATCATGTAGTACTTGTTTACATATTTTATGCGATCACTTCTTACGTTTTGACAAAAGTTAACAAAAGTTACCAATTCATAATTTTCATGTGGAATACTAAGAATACAAAATGACAACAGATTCAGTAGAGAAGCCTATCATTCTACGGGAGGCAGCAATGTTAGCGGCGCTTTAAATTGTGAGATATTTAAGGCGAGTGCTTTTTCTTAGCTGTTGAATGGCAAATCGAAAAATTAACCGGAGTGAATACCTGGAAAATTTTCATACTTAAAGGTAAAATCGTGCATGTTCTATCCTTGCATATACAGTTTTAACCTTTGTGCATTTTTATCTCTGCCATGGTTGCCATAATTTTTCTCCGACATTGCAAAGATGTTTTTAGACATTTTATTGTTGGAAGGCGACAAAGTTATCTGTGCTCGTTTTCAGATCTACCAAGTATCGTAAGTGGTTCGCGGATCGGAGTGATTGATCCGCACGAAAAGTACTTTAGGGACGAAAATGGCATACGAACCGGGCACAGGTGGCTATTGAAAGAAGACGGAAACATCATAAACAGCATCCCAGACCAGTTTCAGCCGTATAAAGGAATATTCGATTGTACAGAGGACACCTTCAAACAGGGGTCCTATAATGGGACACTGTTTCGTTTCCCTCTAAGGACAAAACCATCCAAGCTATCGCCGACGTTATACACTACCCAAAAGGTGCACACGTTGTTTGAAAGTTTTGAGGCTGATGCTCATTTGATCCTTCTCTTTCTTCAGTATCTGGAATCCATAGAGCTTTTTGACCGAGAGGAAACAGACAATGACGCCAGAAAAACCTTTCAAGTCCGAATCACAAATGATACTTTACAATTAGTGCGAGAAAATAGGAGTGAGTTTCGAAGAAAGATCTCATCAGGTGAACTATTGCCAGAAGCTGTTTGGGTAACTTATCCTATCACAATCGAGGCAATTACTTACTCCAAAGGCACGCAAAGTGCGTCAGAGCGACATTCGTTTTTAGTTACTAACTACTTTTGTGGAGGAGAAATCTCGTCAGAATTTAGAACCTTGGCTTCAGATCAAGATCTCAGCTATCTGCCTTTGGTAGGTGTCGCCATGGAGTTGCCAGAACGTCCCGTGAAAGAAACGCCAGACATGAAAGGCCACGTGTTTTGTTTCTTACCATTACCAGTACAGAAGACAAGTTTAACAGGATTGCCAGTGCATATCAACGGCTTCTTTGCTTTGAGTCAGAACAGGCGATACATTAAGACGCCTACAGCTGAACAAGAAGATCTGGCTGAGAAGGAAGGCCAGCCCCTGACTGACAAGTCATTGTTATGGAACCAGTGTCTTCTGCAAGAGGCCATCCCTAAAGCGTATGCTTCTCTGCTGCTGGATGCTATGGACGAGCAGAACTACAACGTGCAAAGCGAAGCCGTGTACAAGTAAGCGTGTGTGCCCCTTTAATATAATTACCTCTTTTTGCTCAGACTATATGTAGCAAAGAGCTCAAGAATACGAGTTGACGGAAACAGCTAAAATAGATTGAGACATGTGCTTGGTCTGCTTTAAGACTGATTGTGTCTCTATGGTTGATAAAAGTTCCGTTAATCTCATGCTTAAACAGTTTATGGATCTAAAAGTCCTTCCTTAGTTTTAACAGTTTTCCATAATTTCTCCTTTGAATAGAGCATGGCCTGATACAACTAACATAGACCAGAAATGGAAAAGAGTGGAGAAACCCCTATTTGAGTTGCTTCTCGACAAAAGCATCATCTACACTCCGGCTCAAGGAGGAAAATGGATAAAATTGGCAGACGCGATCGTTGAAAGACTTGCAGGAAGTGATCCTAAGGAATTGCTGGTGAACGTTTTTCTTGCAGCGAATGAAAACGTCGCCTGTTTACCCGAACACGCCCTAAAAGCCATTTGCTTGTACTCAACGTTGAGTGCAGAAGTAACACCTTCGTTGACGCGAAGAGTCCTAAAGAATGTCCCCTCTAGCTACTCAAACTTACCACGGTCAGAAAAACTTTTGCTGCTTGATTTTGTCCTCAAAGACGGTTGCTTTTCTGACCTACTTGGATTGGAGCTGTTACCGATTTCTAACAAGCAGTTCATGTCGTTTTCCAATACGGGCGAGGCTGTTTACATTTCGTCGCCAGCACATCCCCGTGAACTCTTACCATGTCCACAACAAAAGTTCGTTGATGAAAGCATCGACAAAGATTTGTTGCGAAAACTGAATGCAGTCGCAAAACAAGGTATGCAAATTGGAAGTAGTTGTTACAACAACGAAAAGAGCCATACGAAGAATTAAGCTGGTGCTCTGCGTCTGAAAAAATGTTATACTTAATCTTTTTAGTTTATTAGGTCTAGAACCTTTAATTTCGCAGTGCCAAATTGTAAAGAACATGGTATATTATCCCACGGAGGAAATCGAGACAATTGAGATCTCTGAGTTACTTTTTACTATCACAATTAATTCACAATTATTTTCCTTATTATTTTACCTTAATGATTTTATTTGGTAACGTATTCCATTAAGGCGAGACCTGTTTTCAAAATAGTACCGCATTTAGAGCGAGTATGTCTGACTTTTTGCACTTATAAGAGCAAACTAAGATTAGCTAAGGATTCACCTTACTTTCCGAACAGGGTGCACTCAGTTACGGCATTTCACCAAAGATGACGTTGCTAAACTTCTCCCGACTTCACTACCACCTGGATGGCTTTGGGGAAAAATTATTTTGTGGCGTCCTGGCGTCAGAGGCCAACCGTCCAATGACTGGCTGGGAAACTTGTGGACATACTTGGGAAAGAACTTCCCCTCAGTAGACGAGCTCTGCAGTTTTGAAAACCTGCCACTACTTCCACTAAATATGTCGAAAGTTCCGATTACCCTCGTGAGACTTAAACAGTTATCTGATGTTGTCGTGAGAAGACTTCATGGCAATTCTTTAGACGACGCTATTGTTGGAGCTTTGGAAGAGCTTGGTGTTACAGTAATGCAAAGGTATCCGGGGTTCCTAGGCCTGCACCCTGCCGTTTCGGAAACGTTTGTTCATCCGCCATCAGTTCAAGGCGTCTTAAAAGCTGTGGCAGCTTTTCTTTCCTTAAAGCCCAATGCCGTGAAAAACATAACAGACGATGGTAAACGATATTTTAGGCAGTTTGTCGCCAAAGCCTCTTCGCTCAGTCCAGATGAGAAGAAAGTCTTGAACTGCATACCACTGTTTGAGACTTTGTCCGGAGTCTTTGTTTCTAAAAGTGATGGCCTTTGCGCTGCACCTGATGATGCGTTTCCAGTGAAAACCTTCAGAGATCTCATAGACATTAGAGAGAACGATGCAAAGAGATTGGCAGGTTTGTTAGACATCCAAGTCTTGACAGGTTCTGAGGTTCTGCTTGAGGTGATATTTCTGGATGTAGTGGGTCAGCGTTACTCCACTGAAGAAATTGACAGACTCATGGAATTCGTGATGGATAGATATCACGTTTACACCGCAGAGGATGAGAGATTTCAGAATCAGTTAAAAGAAGTACCCTTTGTTTCAACTAAAAATGACAGAGTGAGACCTAAGGAGGTATTTGATCCCAGAGAAGACTTCCTGAAAAGAATTTTCGTGGAAGAAGATGTGTTTCCTGTTGGAAAGTACGATCAACCTACAGCTCTAGTAATCTTAAAATACCTTGGCATGAAAGACGAAGGAGAAATCACGGGACAAAATGTGTACGAAAGCGCAAAAGCAGTGAATAGCATTGTTAACTTTGCTGCGGCAGAAACGAAGTCATCAGCGATCATGTCATTCTTAACTAGCAATCAGGCAAAACTTGAAGAAATTGTTTCTGGAACATCAGGTTTAGGAGAGCTCGGGATGCATCTTAAAAGTATTCCATGGGTCTCTGTGCTCAGACGAAAACCCGATGGCTACCCCGAAAGTCTTCCGTTCTGGGGAGAAACGCACTCAGAACCTTATTTCCTAAAGCCTTCAGATGTCAAGTACAAACAAGCAGCAAACATCATTGGATCGACAAAAGCACTTGTCAAAGCTGAGCCATGTGGGAAATTCACCCGCTGCTTTTCATGGAACGCAGACCCGGCTGTTTTGGACGTCGTGCAGCACTTGCAGAATGTAATAAGTTGCTACAGTCCACTAGACAAGCCGCGTTATATTATCATCGCCCAGGAAATTTACGCCTTTCTCAGTGGTGCAGATCATAACGAAGTACTTGCTGCTTTGGAGAATGTCAAGAACCTTCCGTGGATTTGGAACGGAGATGGATTTTCTTCCCCTAGGTTCCTGATATCTCAGAAACCTCCGATTGATCTGACACCATATATCCGTTCTCTTCCCTCAGAAGTGGCAAAATTCTACGAGCTGTTTGCAAAATTTGGCCTGCAAGAGAAGTGCGATGACGCATTTTTGCTAGAGGTTCTTCACTTAGTAAAAGAGAAGTACGAAAATCACCCTCTGCCTCCCACGGCAGAGGTACGGAAGGACCTGCAGTTGTCTGTGGACATTTTGAATGAAATTAAGCCAAACGTCGGAGATCAGTTACCGCCCGCACTTCAAAAAAAGGTGCTCATTCCGACACATGTGGAAGACGATGCGTATGTTAAGCTTGCACCAGTTGAGAGATGCATGTACTGCGAGCATGAGTGGTTGGAAAGAAGTAACCACGATGGAGAAGAAGATGAAGAGATGGAATATTCTTATGTACATCCAAACATTCCAAACAGCACAGCTGAACTTTTGCGCGTTCCAACGTTGATGAATCGAATGTTGGAACCAGACGAACTGGGTATAGGAGAGGAATTCGGACAAGAAGAAAAACTCACCCGTAGACTTAGCAGACTTTTAGAGGATTACACTGATGGTTTTGCAGTACCCAAAGAACTTGTTCAAAATGCAGACGATGCAGGTGCCACTGAAGTGAGATTTTTATATGACGAACGAACGAACCAGGATGCCATGACCTGTCTGATTGACGAAGAAATGAAACACTGCCAGGGTCCTGCTTTGTGGGTCTACAACGATGCCGAATTCAGAGACGAGGATTTTACAAACATCACAAAATTAAACGGTGCCACAAAAGAACAAGAAACTGAGAAGATTGGCAAGTTTGGACTTGGTTTCAATGCAGTATACAATCTGACAGATGTTCCAATGATTTTGAGCAGAAATTATTTTGTGATTTTCGACCCGAACACGTTCTATCTCGGAAAGGCAATAACAAACAAGAACAAACCTGGAATAAAGATTGATATCAACAAAAACACAAAGAGACTTAAGAATCTCGGCAATCAGTTTAAACCGTTCAATGGAATATTTGATTGCGATCTTCACCTGAGAAAAGACGACAACTCTTACCCTGGAACTCTGTTTCGTTTTCCATTACGTACCAGAGAGCAGGCTATTAAAAGTGAAATCAAGCAACTTCATTACGACAACAAACAAATGAAAGAACTCCTGAAGCTTTTCGCCTCTGGTGCTAAGACTCTTCTTCTCTTCACGCAAAATGTACGTCGTGTCAGCATTTTTCACCTGCCGGAAGATTCGAACTCCTCCAAGTCGCCTATGTTACTGCTTGAAGTGAACAAATCCTTTTATCGTGATGGAACGATAAGGGAACTGTCTGTTCCAGTTACACTTCCACCGGCTGCGAGGAGCCTCAGTGGAGAAGAGCAGTACCTTTTGCAACAGTGCAATTTTTTACGTGCGTCGTCCGAAGTTACCAAGAATTTTAAACATTCCACTACCTCCAATTCAGTTTCACTCAGTTCTGGGCTCACGATTACTATCCGGAGTACCACTACTGAGGCTGGAATAGCATTTGTCGAAGGCAAGGACCGTTTACGAGATGAGTTGGAGATTTGGTGTGTTGCCTCTTCCATGGGTAAAGGACAAGCAATGCAATTTGCAAAGGTTGATAAGAGTCTACTCCCATCAGCGGGGGTAGCAGCCAAGTTGATCCCCGACAAGCGTGGAAAACTCTTACCCGTGCCTGTCGGCCATTCGATCACAGAGAAGGTGCAACAACCCAAGGGAAGATTGTTCTGCTACCTTCCGCTCCCAATAGTTAGTGGTTTTCCAGTACATGTAAATGGGACATTTGCTGTAGCGTCTAACAGACGAAGCTTGAAAGAGAAGACATTTGACGACAAGAATTCAATGGGAGTTGAGTGGAACAATCATCTTATGCAAGATTCAATTTGTGAGGCATATCTTGACCTTCTCCAAGACGTAAAGAAGATGGCCGCTGATTCGTATCTTTATCACTTGCTGTGGCCTAGAGCTTGTAAGGTAGATCCGAATTGTGAGCCTCTCGCACGTTCATTTTACCAACGTTTGACTAGTGGAGGCTATGGTCTCTTTTCTGATGGGAGGCAGTGGGTTGACCTTAGCCAGGTGGTCTTTCTTGATCCAAATTTTCGCCAAACTCCGATAATTGGGAAATTGTCCTTCGAAGTTCTAAGGAGATTGAAAAAAGAAAATGAGGTCATTATTGACCTACCAGCTGAAGTCCACCAGTCTTTTCTTAAGTATGGCCTTGCGGAAGAAATCCAGGATAAAGGCTACGACAAGTCAAGGTTCTTTCAAGAATTATTCTTCCCAAACATCGCCTCTATAGCAACAGACCTGAGGGAAAAGTTGGTTTTATACACTCTTGATGACAAAAATGGAGAGTTTGACAGTCTGATTAAGAAATACGCTTGCATTCCTGCCTCACCGGATGGCCAAAATCTGAAGTGTCCAGCTCAGCTTATCAACCCCCATAAGGGAGCCGCCTTGCTCTTTAGTCCCGACGATAAAAGATTTCCGTTTGGCACAAAGGATACTTTTTTGAATGGCGTACGACTTGTCAAGCTTGAACAACTTGGGATGTTGACAGACAGCCTTACATGGGAAGAAGTTGTAGAGAGGGCGGAGAGCATTACCGTTTTAAATAGGTTCTCTAGTACATCTGCATTAAAGCGCGCTGAAGCATTGATGGCTTATCTAAAAAGAAAATTGATATATGAAAAGGAAAACTCTGTACCCGATGATGTTCGAAACAATTTGAAAAAAGCCAGCTTTCTTCCTGTGCTTCAAAAACCGGAAAAATTCCCTCTTCCTTGGAAAGGAGATGAGCTACGTAGCGCTAAAGCAAGATTATTTGTTTCACCCGAAGAGTCCTATCTTGAGAGCGAGAAGCATTTAGTTTGTTGCAGTGAACCGATAGTCGACATGCAGATCCCAGAAAGTGTGAAAACGTTCTTAGATTTCGACAAACGGCAAGCCACCGTTGTTCATGTTCGAAGGCAACTCGAGTTTGCCTCAACAGTGAACATGGATATATTGGATTCTCCAGAAATTGATCACGTCGAAAGGCTGTGTTTAGAATCTTACGGGTATTTTCAGCGATCACTCAGCAACGAAACAATCCAGGAGAAGGAAGTAAAAGGGATGTTTAAAGGACAAAAATACATTTTCTGTGGAAGGAATTTCTTTTACACGGAACAACTAGCTTTCAGCAAGTTGGAGCACGATTGTTCTCCATACTTACATCAGCTTCCGCATCACTTAGCAAGATCATTTAAAAATTTAATGAAAAGTGCAGGTGTGAAAGATGTTTTTGATGCCGAAGATTACGTCACCTGTTTGACGCGACTGAAGGAAGCGTTTAAGGAAGAAAAGCTTGATCAGATGGGTCTTCGACTAGCGGTTAACCTGGCTCTTGAACTCGGAGAAAGCTCAAAACACCCTCAAGAAAAGCTCTTTCTTCCTGATTCTAAAGGTGTAATGCGACCTGCCAATGAACTTTGCATGAGAGACTGCCCTTGGATGCCCGACGAAATCGACGTTTTTTTCGTCAATGACATGATTCCCCCTGCAGTAGGTTCCAGACTGGGTGTCAAGACACGACGCGAGGAAGCATTAAAGCATTTCTCCAGCGGCATTCCTTTTGGACAGAAGGAAAAACTTACAAATCGACTACAGCGAATTCTTACAGCTTACCCATGCGAGAAAGAAATCTTAAAAGAACTTCTCCAGAATGCGGACGATGCGCAAGCGACCGAGATTTGCTTCATTAAAGACCCTCGACATCACCCAAGCGAAAGAGTATTTGCAGACTCTTGGAAACGCCTGCAGGGTCCTGCATTATGCGTGTTTAACAACAAACCTTTCACTGAAGCCGATATCGCGGGAATTCAAAATCTCGGGGAGGGCAGTAAAGGAGACGATCCAAACAAAACTGGTCAGTATGGAGTTGGTTTCAATGCTGTGTACCATTTGACTGATGCACCGTCGTTTGCCTCTAGAGGTGAAGAGATTGGAGACGTTTTGTGCATATTTGATCCGCAACGTAAGTACGTACCAGGTGCAACCAGTTCTGAACCAGGAAGGATGTACCGAAACGTCCCAAAGTTGAGAAAAGTCTTTCCGGACGTTTTTTCCTGCTACAATGATGAGGAGTTTCCCTTACGCAATTCAACAATGTTCCGTTTTCCATTACGAACTCTGGAAATGGCGAATAATTCCAAGATATCGAAATCACCGGTGACGCTTCAGGCATTAGATGAGATGATGTGCGCACTAAAGAAGGAACTTTTCGAAGTTATGCTTTTTGTCAACAACGTTACAAAGATTACTTTGTGTGAAATTGATTCGAAAACCGGGAAAACTATGAACCACTATTTCGTCGAGTCGAAAATGACAGAGGAGGATGCAGTGAAAAGGCAAGAGTTTGCGAGTCATGTCCGACAGATCGGGAAGTCAACTGGCCAAAGAGATAACATGTTTCCCAACAACATTGAAGGGAAAAAGTGTTCGTATGTTCTGAGGCTGCGAGACAGTAATGGCAACGAGGAAAAGTGGCTTATTGTACAACAGATTGGCTTTGATAACGTAGTGCAAGAAAGTATTACAAATGCTCACAGAATGCGTGATCTGGGAATGCTACCACAAGGCGGAGTTGCTTGCCTTCTGGAAAAGAAGCCAACAAAGAACTCGCCCAAAAAAAGGAAGAAAAGGGCTTACTGCTTTCTTCCACTTCCTTTAGAGACTGACCTTCCAGTCCACATTAATGGTCATTTTGCATTAGACCATGAGGCCAGACGAAATCTGTGGAAGGATGAAACTCGTGGTTATCGTAGTGACTGGAACAACGCTTTGCTAGAAGATGTGATTGCACCGTGTTATCTGACACTTCTGGATGAAGTTAGGGAGTTTCTTCACTTGCCATCAGCGCCAGATAGGGAAGAATTTACTCTTCAGTGCACTGAAGAGGCTTTGTTCAGGAAAATCGACGAATACGAAAAGCTTTTTCCATTGGTAGTTTCGGGTGAGACGTACTGGGTGACCCTGGGAAGAGCCGTGTATCAGAAGATGGACGAGAGAAGATTGAGACTTCTGCCAGTGGTGAGAGGTGGTGGAGCAGAAGGTACTGTTTCGGAGCATCGACTGACATGGCTCCCTCCGACAGGCGAGGGGAGAGAAAAAGCGTTCTTCAATAACCTTGCAGAAGGTGGCTCTTTCCCTAGTCACGTAAAAGGTTTCGTCAGTAAAAGCGACATTGAAAAAGAAGACAAAGGAACGCTTGAGAACAGGAAGAGATTGGAAGAAATATTATTGGAAACGGGCTTTAATCTCGTTAAGTTCTCGTTAACTTTAATGAAAGCATTACAAAATTCGTGTGTGGATTGTTCTTGTGTATCAGCTCCTGCAGTGGTCAGGTTCTACAAGACCTTCGGTGATGCCGAACCCATTTGCAAGATTGGACCGATTTCTGTTTATATTAAAAAGAGTCCATTTAAGAGTACTGACAACGTCTCACTCTTGTTGAAGTATTGCAAGGGGGATACGAACTTCCTTGAAAACCTGCCAGGCCTCCCTTTACTTGTAACACAGGACAATCAGTTACGTGCATTCAGCACTACTGATCCTAAATTTCTGTCGCGTCATCACAGCATCCTACCGCAATGCAGAGAATTGTTTGTCCACGAACGTCTCAGGATACACATCTTTGACGATGCAAGGAGTCAAGAATCATCGGTGTTTCGGCATTTTGGTGTACAAGACTTCGCCACTAACTTGAATCGATGCCTACCATCGGAGTTTTTTACTGGAGACGACTATGTTAGGTGGTGCCCGACGCAAGAATCAGTGCCTAGTAAGCGCTGGGTGCAGGGTGTTTGGAATTTCCTTTATGAAGAAACTAATTATGTGTTGAAGAAAATGGAGCAGACTGAAAGAGAGAGAAGCACCTCTGCAAAGCACGAAGGGGAAATCAAAAGGATTCAAAGAATACTTCAACCTCTTTCTAAGTGGAGTATCCTTCCGTGTATTGAAACAAGACAAATGACGTCAAGACGTGGAAGCATCGTTGAGACACTAGAGCACTGCCTAGTGCCGTTGAGCCTCGCACAGTCTGTCCTTGACTTTACATGTTACGATGAGAATAGCAAACCTCTTGTTGAAGCTTTGAGGCGGCTCAACTTAGCCGAAGTGAACTACACAATATTGAGGCCAGATTCTTGTTCTCTCGCACGTAAGCTGGTAACATCGCTTAAAACACCAGAATCTCTTCTCAAATGTTTTGAGCAGAAATTGAAGAAAACCCCCAACGCATTTGAAGGCAAATTGAAGTCCTCAGAATGTCGCACTATTTTGAAATGTTTCAGTGACAGCGTCAATAGATTGGAGGAACGTGACAAAACCACACTGAAAGAGCTTCCTTTCTACCAAGCAACACATGGCAAACTAACAAGTGTGGGTAGTGCAGAGGTTTGTGTCCTACCTATTGACATTCCACGGAAAGAGATGGACACTCTTGGACTTCGAAGGAAAGTGACTTTTCTAGAAGCGAGTCGTTCACTGGCTCCCCTTTTTCAATTTCTTGAATTCCAATGCATTTCCTCAGTTGATGTGTATTGCAGCTTCATTTTGCAAACCTTCGACATTTTCAGTAAAGAGGCAAGGTTTGATCACCTGGATTATATCCGTCGTTATATTCTTCCGAGCAGGTCAATCAATGACAACGACAAGAGTAGGCTCCTGGCTTCTTTAAAGAACACGGCAATCATCACTTGCGAGGATGGAAGCTTAAGGAAGGTATCCTCCTTCTACGACCCCCGTAATGAAGTCTTCAGAATTATGTTTGCAGAGGATAAGTTCCCTCCGGAACCTTTTAAGGATCAAAGTTGGCTGTTGTTTTTAGAAGAGACCGGGCTAACATGTGAGGTCTCAAGTAGCCTGTTCACAATCTTTGCCAACGATGTCGCCCTTGAAGGAGCTATACAACGTTCAGAGAATACTGTCAAAAAGTCGAAAGTATTGGTAAAGAACCTTTTTTGTCGACAGGATGTAGTAGCAGAAGAGCTTCTACAGGCTGTGTGCGACATTAGCTTTGTGGCCACTGAACCTGTCGAGGAAAAGTTTCGTCAGCTCCATCAGCAGTTTGGTGAAGTAAGTGGTCAAACCCCCTTCATTTCGTTCAAAGGATCTGTGATTGCAAAGCACACTGAGATAGTTTGGACGGCGGCACCTCTGCTTCCACAATGGGCACATCCTTTGAACTATCAGCACCAGATGACATTGTTAGGTGGAGTAAGTGTCAATTACAACACTATCTGTTCCTGTCTTCAGGTTCTGACAGAGCCCAACCTTGACCTGGTTATCTCCCACTGCCAAAATTTATGCTCTAAGCTGGAAAAACAAAACTACAGAGATGTACTGGATGAGGATAAATACACCAGAATTTCAGTGATGAGAGGCATATACGCGTTTCTTCAAGAAAAGGCCGTCTCAAACATCATTGAAACAGAGAGGCTGAAGGATACTCCTTGTGTTTTGGTAGAAGAGGGAGGTCGTTTTGTTCACTCGAAACAAGTAGTCCTTGAATTGTACGAAAAAGATGAGATTCGACCCTTTCTTTATGGAATGCCTGCAGAGTTAAGTGAGTTTAAAAGACTCTTCCAATATTTGGGATGTTCCCCATCTGTCAAACCGTCTCACTACGTCATGGTTCTAGATATGTTACACAGGCGATCAATGGAAAATATGTTGGAACCAAATGAGGTTAGTTTCGCTTCAAGAGCAGTGAAAGGTCTTTTTGAAACGCTTCAAGACATTCCAAGTGGAATGGATGGTATATCTAATCTGTACCTACCTTCTACATGTCTATTTAGTAGCAGTTTGGTCATGGAGGTACCACCTATCGTGTTGGCGAGGTCGACAGAATTAATTTTCGATGACGCTCCATATTACCATGATCGAATTCGAGAATTTGACTTTCCTGTTGTTGTTGACCTTAGGAAGGCTGGAGTATGCATCAAGTCCAATGCAAATTACAAAGACCTGATGAAGCTTCTTCCTGCTACTGTCCAACCTCAGATGATGTCCGAAGTTATCGAAGAGAAACTCGTGGAAGATGATAGTAATTCAGTTTTCGAATTTGGAGCTGCAGACTCACTGAAGAAACAATTTAGCTCCGAGCAGTTCTATCGTGGAATTGTCAGGCTTATTCGTCACGCCAATCAAGATGGAGGTCTTGATCAAAATGAAGTCGCAGCTGCAAGGAGCAGTCTGCAAAACATCGAATTCTTTGGAATGGGTCAGGTTGTTACTCACCTGGTTCATAATGAACAGGTCATCCAAGGGAGTCAGCAGGAAGTTCCCTTTTACATGAAGAAAATTTCAGAATGCGGTCAAGAGATGTGGAAAGTATACGTCAGTGCTGCGGAGAACGTTGAAGTAGTCATGTCTGCAATATCAGTAAAGCTATCAGAGGTGATTGAACAAGCGTGCAGAGGACTGCTGGGAAATGCTATTCGCTACATTCCTGAGATGCTTCGTTGCGACCCAACTATGATAAGTTCCATTTTAGATAAGTTTAAGATTCGTTCAGACGACTCCTATGATGCAGAAAAAGGAAATCTACTCCCAGAACCAGGTAGTTTTATTCCTCTTAAACTTCACAACCTCCTAAATCCTGCTTTCAAATCCTTTTTCCCCGAGGAGTATGTTGGATACGAATTGGATGATCCCAGTCTTCAACTTCAAGAAGGAGATGTAACCTACATCTACGCTGTCATTATTGAAGAGGTGACGACTGACACACAAAGCCCCCTGACTAAACGTTTCAAAATCAATATTGGGAGCAAGAGGGAACCTGTAATTGTCCAGGCTTCAGAATTATACCAATTTCACCGTTTTCAAGAAATAGAATCCTCTGCCATGGTTCAGTTTGACCAACAAGAAAGCCCTCAGTCTACAATGGATAAGGGGACGATTTTGAACGCTATATCCGATATGATTGAAGAAGCTTGGGGACTATCAGAAGATATGAAAAAACAGGTTTTCAAGCGCCTCATCCTACAGTGGCATCCAGACAAGAATCCAGAAAACAAAGGGCTGTACACAGAGGTTTTTCAACATATAATGAGTGAAATTGAAAGATTAGAAAAGGGAGAGTTTCGGAGACGTGAAGGATGCACCCCACGTGATGGGACTTATCAGGGGTCTTATAGTGCCTTCTTTTACTTCTGGGGAGCGCGTGCAAGGCAATATAATTCAGATCGTCAAGAGTACAGTGAAAGATTTGCCAGGCACCGTGGGTCTGGTAGTCGTAATTCATGGTCATGGCGTGTTCCTCCTGACTTCTGTGATACAAATCCCCAGCCAGCAGAGGCACGGCGCTGGTTCAGACAGGCTGAGGCTGACTTAGCAGCTGCCGATAACGACATTGGTACTGCAAAACCTTCGTACGTGTGGGCTTGCTTCAAATGCCACCAGGTAAGAACTCTGCCGATTTAAATCTTACTGACAAGTTGAAAATATAAAATCTCCGGACCACCTTTATATAGCATTCATTTTTACTGTTTTGGTTTTTGAAAATTTGAAAGCGGAAAAAATGGCACAAGCTCCCTTTGCTCTAAGCCAAATGTAGCACATTTATATGCAGAAGTGATAAGCTACTGATGTAGAAGGTATACAAATAGTAGCTCCATAACAAAAACAACCAAAAGAAAAGCGATGAAGGTAAAACAAACAATAGAAGCATCAGCCCTCTTGCAACTTATAATAACGTTGTGCGACCAAACTTACCAATCAAACCTAGGTATAAATGTATGTATGCCACGAAAAAGGTCGATCAATTTGAAAACAAAGTATTGTTTGCCTTTAATTGGAAGTTTGGTACTTAAGTGACGCAAAAGCTACCATTAATAGTTATAACGTCTTCTAGTGTTCTAGCACGAGAGATGACGCTAATTGTAATCCACGAGAGTTTCAGTGTTCAATTGTTTAACTTTTAGTTGAATCCTGTGAAGAAAGTTCCTTAATGGAGATTTCTAATGATTCTGTGCTAATGTTGGGGGAAGTGGAAACGGTTCTTGCGGGGCTGCCTTCGAGCGAGCTTTGTTTTTCCTCTTAACTGGTTTTTCGTAGCGATTGCATTCGCAATAAGTTTGAGAAGGAGGCACTTCGATATTTGGAGAGTTAAGTCGTACATGCAGTTTCTGTGTTGCTTGACCACGAAAAAATCCTGAGGATACAGCGAAAACAAACACAAAACCCAACGAAATTAATCACAGACAGTGTACATGTGACATAGTCAAGATATTGCCAAAAAGTAAAGTTCATTCCTCTCCTCATGAACATGAAGAAATAAACTGTGACGTGAAGTTTGAAAATATCCACATAAAAATCCAGATTATTAGAGAAATGCAAGTTCTTTGAATGGCCGACAATTTTGTCACGTCTGGCTAGAATGACCCATATTTGGAGAATAAATATGTAGATTTCGCTAAGCCTAAAAGAGGATCTCGCATTTTTTTTCCCGCACGTCTCAAGGGCACAGCGCCTTGCCCCGGCCAGGACTAGAACCCGGGTCGTCCGACTCGGAGCCCAGTGCACTGACCACTGGACTACTAGACAAAGCCGTGGCTTTGGCGTGCCCGCGGTACAGTTGACCACGCATGCTAAAAGTAGCACCTTGTACGGTCGTACGGTCATACGGTCGTACGGTCATACGGTCGTGCATCCAATTTTTTCGGTTTGATGGGTTACTATTACTACTATTTTGTATAATTATGGGGCTACGCGAACTCCGCTAGAAGTTAGTTATATGAGTTTTTTTTTTTTTTAATATTTACTTAAAGTGTTTTCAGTATTGTTCCTTGATTCTTTTCAAATCAAAGGAAGGCAGCTTACTGTTTGAAATTTCCCCTAGGTTTTCCTGTTGTTGTTGTGGTTTTTTCCATAGCATTGAATGTGCTTTTAAAATGGTGTTAGAAATACGATCGGAAAAGTTCTTATTATGTATATAAGGAATGTAAATTTAATAGTTACTTTTTTCAGGCTGCAGAGAAAGCATTGAAGGCTGCCCAATATTCCGTAGATTCTAACAAAACCAATGTTCACAACCTGGTGCAAAATTCCCTCAAGCTGAAAGATTCGAATCTGACTTCGCTGTCCCGTGATCTTGAGTCTCTCCTGGGTGACTCAACACGCATGCGCTACCCGGACCAAGTTTGCTGTCCTCGTATACCAAGCGACATTTACACTCATGAAAAGGCCTGTGAGGCAGTGCGATTAGCCACCAAGATACTTGATAATGTGAAGAGCAAAGTCCAATAAGGTGCGAGCATTCATGTGCCAGAGTTTATTTCTTTTAAGTCTTTTCCGCTGTTATAGCATAACAACATATGGAGACAGAGCTTTCTCTATTGCAGGACCTAAATTGTGGAACGATTTACCTCTAGAGATTAGGAAATGTGCTTCAGTGGCAACTTTTAAGCAATCCCTTAAAACTTTTTTATTTAAGTTAGCATATAGGTTATGAGATTCCTTTTGTTTTGAGATGTTTTTGATTTATATAGTAGATAACTTAGGCTATGTTTGAATTATATTGTATATTGTAGATATTTTATATTTTATATTTTTTATATTTTATTTTGTAATTAGGTAGCGCTTTGGACAATTATTGGATTTTAGCGCTATATAAATAAAATTATTATTATTATTATTATTATTATTATAGCGCGCGCAAAAAAAAATTAAATATATCCATGTATACATTACAGTGAACAGATTGAACCCAAAAGTTATATTTGATCATGTAGTCAGATCGTCCGGGTGAGAGTAGTCCTGAGAAAGACTGTTGTCGGTAGCAGTGACTGACGTTTCAACAATCTAAGCGGAAGTCATCATTACTGAAGTGAAGAGTTGTTGTGTATGGAAGGGGGGGGGGGGGGGGTTAGGTCAGGGTTATAAAGCGGGCTAGTCTGTTTTGCTGTGATGTTGAAAGCAATAAGACTCAGGTACCATTGGTCAGTCGATCTGTCGGTGATGTTGGGTCGTTATAATATTGCCGGTGATCAGAAGTTAGATAATACGATCATGAGCATAAATTAATGCTCGGTAAGTAACAAATTTTAACGGATCTCTAGTCGTTAAAAAATATACCAAAATCTCATAAATCGGTGCACACCTTTGTTTTGTCAATTTAAGCTCTTTTTTAACTCCTTGTATTTTGTATTTCATTGCAGAAGGAGCTACTCTTTCATTCTGATGTGGCACCAATTACAAAGATGTTTTGCATGAAGAGATTTCAGAATGTGCTTAGATGCTTTGGCTTAGATTAGAACGATAGCTCTTAGTCATGCTTTTATTGCAATAGTTGCTATGTTCAATCGATGTCCTACAAAACTAGGCTGACAGGTTATATAGCTGAGCTTAAATAAGTGAGGAAACGAATTGAAAATACATGTGATAATTGGTATATTTCATCGTAATTTCAGCGTAGTAGTTTCAGTATCAGTTTTCTCTGTCTAATATCAAAATCCGGTTAATTTTTGGTTTTTTTAGTTGTTGGGAAGGATGGAATTTACGGTGTTTTTAGAATATCATTGATAACAAGCTAGTCTTTCCAGATCAGATCAGATTTTTCCTTCTGTGTGTTTTTAGTTAAATGTTTACGTTATCCGGCTTCACATTAGTGATAATTCAATGGCTCCTTAATTTGTATTCAAATATAAACCAGTCTATTCTTTGATTGGAATGAGCTTTCTCACGTTTAAGCAATAATTTAGTTGAGAATCCAGTAATTTATTTTCTAATTTTTTCATGGATCCAGGTTCGTCTATGCACGGCTTTATGAATGATCAGCGATGTTACAGTAGAATTAATAACATTTTATAGCTTAAACAGTACACTTATTCCTTGCAAATATAACTCTTTAAAGGAGACAGCTGAAAACTGTGAGACTTATAATAAAGAGTTATGAATGGCATGTTTTGACATTTTGATCTGGTGTTATTCAAGGGTAGCCTACGTGTAGCCGTACCCTTCCCTCCAAGGGAAGATCTCAACGTCGATAGCTGTTGTCCCTAGAGTAGCCCATGAAGACACTCCGTCCGCCATCTTGTTTGTTTGTAGGACAGAAAACATTAAGTCTAGCCAGTTAATCAGAATTCACGAAAGTATCGAACCAAACGTGAACCGACACAAAGTCATTACATATTTTTCTTGCAAAGGAGTAACGTCACGGAACACGATTATTGTCAGGTTTGCATAGACGTTCCCTCGCCTCCGTTTCCCCTTGAAGGGGAGGAGAGTATGGCTACACCTAGGCTATTCAAAGGTGGACTTTTCGCGTGTGTGCGCGTGCACTAGTTTGTTTTTTGATTTATTTTGTTTGTTTTATAGATGTACGAATTCCATTCCTTTATTCAAATAGGTCACAGATCGGAGCTGATTCAAAATATACGTTCTAGCCGCAGTAGATGGAGGATTGTTTGTGTTCCAACCTGAAAGAGGAAAACAAAATAGTAAACGTAGACTTTCTTCGCCTTTACGTCAGCCACACCGGCTTGAACAGCCCCTGCAAGAACTAGCGAACTAAAGTGATCAGGAAATTGTTTTAATACCGCAAAATTATTTTTTTTTCTTCCGAACAAAGTGGTCCTTTAGTTCAATGAATGTAGTGATATCAAAGGTTCGATTGAAAACGAAGCCTTCTATTAACAGGGTTGAATTTTTGTGGGTGAAGTCAAACGGGGAAGAGACGTGCGTTTTCATATGTCCAACCAAAACCGAGCAAGGTGACCCCCCTTCCCCCTTCGATTTCACATCCGACTTCCTCGTAAGATTTTGTACATCTCCATGCATGTTACAACGTATTTAATCGGAAATCTATCAAAGTATAATTTTAGCCTTAGTGTAAGAACAAAAGGCCTTTGGGAACCAATTGGATTCGATTTGTCATTTGCACATCAATCATAGTAATGGTGATGATTATAATGGTAATAATAATAGTGAAAATGAAAATAATATTGAAGATTTCCAATTAACAGAGATGTACTTATTTGAAAGGAAAGGAGAAACCGAATAACTTAACGAATAAGGACCAAAAAACAAAAAGAAAGAATTCCTGTGCATTTATGCTGACGAAGGCAACAGATCACGGCACTATATTACGATATTCTGGCCGATCTTTCTCATTTTGCTATTGCTAAGATTACGGGACTTAGCCGCTTTGATTTATGCTGCCTGTAATACACCTCTATATCTCGCTCAAGTTGACTCTAAGGGGTCCTCGCCCAAAAAGCAACTTGTCTTTTGCAATAACAAAATGCTCACCTTTCCCAGCTAAGAACACACTTGTAAAGTGGAGTAAAAAGTTTTTTTCCTTTTTTTATATTTACAAATATTCTGTTGTTGTGATATAGCTGGCAAGTGCACTCTGGGACATATAGAGTAAGTCAACCATCAAAGACAAAAAATACGCTTTAACTTATACCTTTGAATTCAGTTCTTTTATTAAATAGATGAATCGAAAGTGTACTCGGTCAAATTCGTGTCACGTATCATGCTAATGATTACAAAGGTGGCAATGATACCGTGTGATATCAGGTCATTTAATTCCTATCGTGGGATATCAGCACACAGAAAACAAGACCTGATTGGCTTTATACAAATTTGGGTTCACTAAGCACGCTATACTTATCTACTCAAACCTTCGATTAACGATATATCATGCAACCACACGTGCAATGTACACGTGCAATCGTCCATTGTGATGCCTTTTTTTTCGGCTGATGTCAAACATATTCCTTTTTGACTTTGTACCATACGCGGCTTTTAGGTAGAATGGACTATTTGCATATCACATGATTTGAAAAAATTTTATTGAAAAATTCAAGTTTTCGCACTTTTGCGCATACTTCTTTAGCCAGCTTGCTATATATGGCGCAATTTAGAAATATCAAAGAAGAGTGAGTTTCTCGTCATTTTCGATTGTTGATGAATTGCGACCATACGCTTCTCTTCTTTAATATGGAGATGAAGTTGTAGGTTATTTCAGCATTGCTTTACACTTTTTTTTACCTTAAAGCATGCTTAAGAAACGACTGGAGAGGCATTACCAGCCCTGAAAAAGATTCTGTCAAGATCAGCTTGGGTATGTTCACTAAGCACGCTATCCTTGTAAACTCAAATCTTCGATTAACGATATATCATGAAAGTACAAGTGAAATGTACGTGGCTCATTGATATCATTATCAATATTTTGCCTTTCATAAATGCAACATTTAGACAGCACAAGTAATAAGGATTGACGACTCAACTCGGCAACTTCAGAAAAACTAGGGCATCATAACGGTGACTGATTATATCATAAAAAGAAGCAAACGAAGGGTGCGTTCCTTCGGGAGAATTTGGATCAGGATTTCTGATATGTGGCGTTCCTTTCGAGCAAATCCATTTTTAGATCAATGATCAATCAAATCCACTTTCGACAAGGATTTATCGGATCACTGATCTGCGCAATCTAAAGACGGATCATTGATCCAACGCTTTCCTTTGGGCGAAGGGTCCGAAATTAATCGTTTTTCCCAGCGGTGCTCAGTTTCGAAAAAGTAGGTTCTTCAAATATCACTCCACAAATTCTGCGATAAACACAAAATAAACTCGATTTTGTAATGTTAAATTGATCATCCACTAATCGCAGGTATTCAGGGTTGCCAAGTATCCAGATCGTAGTCAATACTTGCTTCTGTAAGTCAATTGTAGGTCTTCCCCCATTCCTTTGTCCATGAGGCAGACCTGAGCAAGTAGCTAACAGGCGTTCCAAGCTGCTGACTGTAGTTCTTGACATCCGAAAATGACTTCAAAATTCTGAAACATTGTTGAGTGGTTTAATACGTTCAAAATAATCCTCCTTGTGGACATGGCTCTGCCTCTCCCCTATCTATAGAAACAAAAGAAATTCGTCATCTTCACAACTTCTCGCTTCTTGTAGTATTGGATCATCGGAAAGTTCCTCTATTAACTAAACAACAGCTGCTCTATACAAGACGGCCATATTGTTTTCCTTTTTTAACTCGTGAATTGCGCGTATGCGCAAGAGCGAGTTATAAATACGATGTGGGGGAACAGCATTCGCTCGCTCGGTCGATTCCTGTAAACTTTTTTTCGATTTTAGGCTTTTGAGTGCATTTGATACTTTTTGGCGAGCAATAAACAAACTAAATGGCGACCTTTGTTGCTAAGAATAGTGGTGGGGTGAAAAAGAAGCCAATGATAATCTTAAAAGAGCTTTTTGTTCTCGTTTTAGTTTCAACCCGCGGCGCTAGCGA